GCATGGTACGTGTCGAATCGTGTCCTTATTGAACCGACCATCAAGTAAAAGTAACCTTACCCTTAATGATACATTCGTCAGATCGTGTGTGCGTGTACACTCATACATGATCGTGTGTATGCTCTGATAATTTATGCATTGTTTCAAAGACAATGCATATAGTATCAGACCATGTTCTTTTGTTTGCATGTTCACCACAAATACGTGTAGTTAATGCAGACAGGATTCCTTGGAAAAGGTTTCTGTTTGGTGTTTTAACATCTTAACAGCTGTTTTATTTTGCCAGAAATGGTCAAACCTCTTTTATGATCGTGTGTGTACACGCATACGCGCACCTGCAAATATACATAGACACTCGCACAGATGTACGCACTCTCACACTTACAAACAAATGTGTAAACTCACCCACTTTTCAGCATCGTTGAACAACGAAATCGTTGACTGATGAGAACGTATTGGATGGGACGCGTGATCTGAATCAGACGGGTTCCGTAGTAAAGAGGTCGAGAACCACTGCTCGAGTGACTGTGATGTTCACCACAACAAAAAAAACACAAATCTAATTGAGATCCTGAATTACTACAATGGATCGAATCGCAATGGGGGACTATGGTAACAGTTGGTTTAGTGATTGCACTCTCTGTACCTGGTATACAGGAGGTCGTGGGTTCGATCCCCACCCTGATGCTTATATATTTTTGGAGTTTGCGTGTTCTCCCCGTGGTCGCGTGGATGTTTTCTCTGGGTCCTCCGATTTTCCCCTCACACATTTCGAAACACGCGTTGAGAGTATTTGGCTGCAATAAATGTCCACGTGATAAGCCACTTCGTTGAGCTATCACGTGTTGGCCAGGTCGCTTCTGAAAAAGAGCTACATAGCTCAGTGGGCCTTACCTGGTAAGATTAAACATTGTTTGGTTTAGTTTAAAAGCATAGAACATGTGGATACATGTGTAGCCGCACTGTGCATGTTGGATGTGGCCTACAAGCGAATGGTTCTCGGTGGTTAGTAGTTTATATGTATAATCCGCAAAGTTCCCCATCCCCAATTCCTCCAACTTCGTCACGGATAAGAGCGGTCCTACTGCACAATGATTATTACATCTATGCAACTGCTGACTACTGCCTTAGTGCTGTTTCTATTGTGCGTTAGCTACTGCGTATACTTAGAGGTTCGTGAAGGACGCTGCTGGGCAGTTAGAGGCAGTCGCCCTCCAACAAGAGCGGAGGGCAGAGGAATGAAGCTCACAACTAAAACGCAGGAAGTTGGCACAATGGGGAGCACAGGTCGTGCATCTGCCGGTCATGTTAGGCAGTAAACCCATATCACCAGGATGTGTCCCGTGACCTCCTGTTACTTCACGTGGCCTCAATGTGCACTTGGCCTGGCACAAGCACCGTGGTGGCATCACCACCACTTAGCGGCGAGGGGCGTTGTTTCGTTTTAGAGGTTTCGTGGTCAGCAGAATAAGCATTCGTGTCACCATGTTCAAGGGAGAAAAAAATTGCCATTTAGTCCAATACGTTGTGAGTGTCTCTCTGCCACGATACCTTTAAATGTTGGGGGTGTCGGGACACCCACGTCAACCACGCGGCTGTGATCCCACCATGAGAAACCCCGTTTGTATGAGGACATAACATTCATGCGCATTTCCTGAATCCACCTATTTGCTGTACTGCCTGTCACATGCAACTCTGCCAGCCTTCGGGCGTTCGCCTCACGTGCACCATCTCAGACTGATCCACTCCTCACGGCCTTTCAAGTCACCGGATCGCGGGATTATGACGGCTCTTACCCAATACGAGATGATCACACAATAGACTTTTGCCGTTTGATTTTCATTCCAATTTGCGAGGACTCTTTTTTTAAAAAAAATCTCTGCTTTGGCAGACAGCCCACGGAGATTAAAGGCCACAAGATTTACATTCAGATGTGAAGCACAGTAATTAATTGCCTTACCGAGGCTACGTTTATTGTGTTAAAACCCTATAATGCCGGGTTGGGATTTAGACATAATCGCTAAAATAATTATAGGCAAGGCAAGAGGAAGTATAGTCTTGTTGTGATATTTCCTTACCTATAAATTATTTAGATATTACGATTGCTGTGTTTGTGAGAGAAACAACATAACCAATTACGTGTGGCTTTAGGGTGTTCTGCTCCGCGGTGATTCAAGACGGAGCGGGTAAACAAGCTATTTGGTGAGTGTGCTCTGCTCAGGGGAGCGAAATGAACCAAAACAAAACACAAGGTCGCCACTGTAATGATCGGAAAGTTATCGATCTGGATTTTCTCACGTGTGCATAATGAACGGATATATCTACGTGTAAAAAATAACCGCGTTCTACATGTTTTGATTAACTTTGTATTCATTATTTTGTTGTGTGTGTGGAAAGATAGGAAAGTGTGTCATTGCATTATGTTGCAGCAGCGATGGTCAATCCACTGCTCGACGAAAGGCATACCCAAGTCGCCCTCATACCTCGTGATCCTGCGATGATACAATCAATATAGCAGGTGCCTACGATCGTGCTGATGTCATCGCTCCATCTCCACGTTTGATGTCCTCTCAGATGCGTCCCATTGCTTTAATGCCACGCCATCATTAGTCTTGACCATCGGCCATCATCCTATCCAGCGACGTGTATCACCCACGGCCACTTACTTTTCTGAACATTTAAATAATAATGAGCGTCTGATAATTGTTTTTTAGTCTTTTATCTGGTAAAAAAACTGACACCTTTTTTTACAAGGAGTCATGTTTGCATTGACCACAATACCTGCGGTCGGAATGCAAACAAAAAACACAACTCTGAAAATGTATGCACTGTCCTTGAAATTGATTGGTCCACACCCGAGACAGCTTTTCTTAGAGCCAAGTCTCACATGGTGTTGGACCAAATGACGCCAAAAGGCGCAGATAAAAGGGTAGAAAAACAATTATAATATTTTATTACTGGCAAAGGAGGTTCCAATGGTGAATAATGAGTGTCGTTGTGGAAACTATAATTAATACAATACAAAAAGAAGACGTCTCTTTCACAAATGCGTCTCTCCACATAAAAATAAATACACGTATTCCTTCCACAACCTATCAGCCGCACGGCCTTCTGTGTGTATAGCTTTCGCAGCATTGGACCGGTTTCGATATTCAGTGTCTCATCGGCAGTTGTTTTCAAACAATGACAAACGCGTCCTCTTATCCGCCTTCAGCTGCTGATAAGAGGAGTCACCTGGAAGTGGTCGCCATTGGGCGCTAAACTCATGCTATGATCCGCTCATATGCATGCGCATGTGCAAGACTTTGTCAATCCGCTGCTGGATGAAGTCTGCCTCTCGCTGTCCGGATCGTGGTAGTTATTTCAACTATACTATGAGATCTCTTTTACCAGTGGCAAAATATAGTAGTAGGTTTTTACCCTTTTAAACTGGTACAAAACTGACACCTTTATTCAAGGCATCATGTTTGCAATGACCACAACACAAGTAGTCAAAAAAGCAAACAAAAAGAAGCAACTCTGATAATGATAATAATATGCACTGTCCTTGAAGTTGATTGGTCCACACCCGAGACGGCTTTCTTTAGAGCCTAGTCCCCATTGGTGTTGGACCAGATGACACCAGAAGGCGTACTACTATATTTCAACTATACTTCACCACGCTGGTCAATGCGGGTTGATGGCGGCATATATGTATACAGGGCGACCAACAATGGATGTTGTTGTTGACCACGTAAATCAGCTTTTAGCCGTGGATAATTTCGATAAGTTCAGGATTTCTTCTCGCGGACAATAGGATTGGAATTCCCGTCAACAGCGAGTCTGCATTGTCCGCCAAGGGCACTGCCCACCACACCAATGCTGAAATTAGAAAATGCATTGTCTTCTCCGTGAGCCCCTTTCAATCTCAGCCGCGCAAAGTGAACGCATTCCCCCGAGACCTGAGTTAAACCTGAGAATCGCGGCTTCCGTTTGCGCCGTGCGTGCGCGTGTGTTTTCATCGCCTCCGCAGAACGTCAGGTTTGTGTGATTTGCATTCACAAACGCTTCAGCCCTCATTTCACGGGAGAGTCTGCCTTTGACAGACAGGTGAACGAATGCATTAGAGAAGACGTGCACTTATAGTTGATAATTGGAAGGGTTTGAAAGAGTAGAAGGCATGTCGATGAACCGCGATGGTCAATAATAATGATTACGCGAGTGGCAGCCAGGAATAGAACGCATCCGATCAGGACGGAGCTCGTGTGCAAGTGTTTGCTTTTGCAGAAAGATTGACACAATCGCACAGATTGCGAAAGTTGGCAGCGGCGGCTTGGAGAGGACTACATCCAGCAGTAGATTGGACCATGGCTGATGACGAGGTTTGAGATGTTGAAAAATGAGCGGGGAGATGGTACCTGGGATTGCCCCGATATTATTATATCGTACGATGTGATGTGATATTAATGTTAACGACGCGAGTTTCTCATAACTGTCTAAATATGACGCTTTAATGATACGAGAAACCCACGCGTCTTTTTGTACGTGACCGTCCCTCGCTCCAGCCAGCCAGCCAAACTTGTTTTTAAATACTACACTGTAGTATGATTGTTTGTGTGCGTTGGTGAGATAATCCTCTTCATCCCCTACGGGACACGAGGCCGCAATGAGCTCCCTCCACTGATTCCTGTCCTTTGGAAACAAATGTTGAGCCTCGCCCCAAGAGAAGCTGATGGCTGCCACCAGCTCCTCCATCACGTGATGTTGTAGGAAAAAACATTTATTAAAAAAGTCGATTTAATTAAGTAGAACGTGTTGTCTATATTTATTTAAAGTTGCGCATTTTGATGTGACGGCACATTTCTCACACCCCCCCCCCCCCCTTCGTCACACATCGTGACAAATGTCTGACCACCCCCCCCCCCCCCTAGGTGCGTGACGTCATTTATGGACGGCCCCTTACACGGTCCCGGTACATTCCGAGAACACGACCGAGCCATGTGTGTGCATTGCTGCACTCTGAAGGCCAGCATGGCACGTGGTGACTCCAACTGACGTTCACCCAACAAACACAGTCGCGCCTGCCGTAACGACTCCGTTTATTGCCACTTTACGATCCGTAACGCTCGTAACGACGCACGCAGACGTCAGTTACGCAAGACTGTTGACATTCTACAGAGAACAACGAATACCAACGGCCTGGCAGTTGGGGCTCGGAAATAGACTCGGAAAGCCCTCGTTGAATAGGTAATAGCAATCTATATACACCTGTCATATTGAATAGGTAATAACAATCTATTTACATCTGTCATATTGAATGGGTAATAACAATCTATATACATCTGTAATATTGAATAGGTAATAGCAATCTATATACATCTGTCATATTGAATAGGTAATAGCAATATATTTACATCTGTAATATTTAATAGGTAATAACAATCTATTTACATCTGTCATCACTGCGCTTTTTGCATACATCAACTTGTTTCGGAAAATAACATAAAATATAAAAAAATGAGCCTCGTTACTCGCAATATAACAACAATATTATGCAAACTAGACGAAACGGTTGTCGTGGGCCATCAGTTTTTTTTAAAGTTCCATGGGGAGGGAGGGGGGGGGTGACCATACTTCACCACGCTGATCAGTGCGGGTTGGTGAAAGTGGGTTGGGAGGGTAGCACCGGTTCTGATTTCACTCGCTGCCGATGTTCGCCGCTGATTAGGAATCGAACTCGGGTCACGATGCGCATCACTCGCTCAGCGCGCTGACCACCGTTTTGTTGTTGTTGTTGTTATTATTCTTCGTCGTGCGATGCAATCGTCGCGGTAGTGGCATCGCGAGAGAGCCACCAGATTGTTCTCCTTCCCTCCGCAACCTCCGATAAGCACGGTTTGCGACGTACGGTACGAAAGAAGTTCAACACACGTACGCACACCACTGTACCAGGGTGCTTCAAAAAAAGATGTAAAAATTGTGAGAATTTGCAACAACGCCACGAGAAGTCTGCCTCCGGGCTCTGGAGACCACCTGGAGAAGACCCCATGCGCTTGTTGACTACAAGTGGGAGACTTACTATTTGGTTCTTTCGGTAAAGTCACGTAGGTGTCAAGCAAAATACATTAAATCACGACGTTTCGGGCGCAACACAAGCGTCCGTCATCAGGTGGGACAACCACAGCAAGAAACAATTGCTGCAGTGGGCAAAATGGCTGCTGTGACAAGAGGTTATATAGTAAGAGAGGGGGGGGGCAAGGGGGGAGAGATAGAGAGGGGGGCAAGGGGGGAGAGATGGAGATGGGGGGCAAGGGGGGAGAGATGGAGAGGGGGGGCAAGAAGGGAGAGATAGAGAGGGGGGGCAAGAAGGGAGAGATAGAGAGGGGGGGGGCAAGGGGGGAGAGATAGAGAGGGGGGGCAAGGGGGGAGAGATAGAGAGGGGGGGCAAGGGGGGAGAGATAGAGAGGGGGGGCAAGGGGGGAGAGATAGAGAGGGGGGGGCCAGGGGGAAGAGATAGAGAGGGGGGGGGCAAGGGGGGAGAGATAGAGAGGGGGGGGCAAGGGGGGAGAGATAGAGAGGGGGGGGGCAAGGGGGGAGAGATAGAGAGGGGGGCAAGGGGGGAGAGATAGAGAGGGGGGGGGCAAGGGGGGAGAGATAGAGAGGGGGGGCAAGGGGGGAGAGATAGAGAGGGGGGGCAAGGAGGGAGAGATAGAGAGGGGGGGCAAGGGGGGAGAGATAGAGAGGGGGGGCAAGGGCGGAGAGATAGAGAGGGGGGGGGGCAAGGGGGGAGAGATAGAGAGGGGGGGCAAGGGCGGAGAGATAGAGAGGGGGGGCAAGGGGGGAGAGATAGAGAGTGGGGGGGCAAGGGGGGGAAGTAGAGAGGGGGGGGCAAGGGGGGGAAGTAGAGAGGGGGGGCAAGGGGGGAGAGATAGAGAGGGGGGGCAAGGGGAGAGAGATGGAGAGGGGGGGGCAAGGGGGGAGAGATAGAGAGGGGGGGCAAGGGGGGAGAGAAAGAGAGGGGGGGGGCAAGGGGGGGGAAGTAGAGAGGGGGGGGCAAGGGGGGGAAGTAGAGAGGGGGGGCAAGGGGGGAGAGATAGAGAGGGGGGGGCAAGGGGGGGAAGTAGAGAGGGGGGGGCAAGGGGGGGAGAGATAGAGAGGGGGGGGCAAGGGGGGGAAGTAGAGAGGGGGGGGCAAGGGGGGAGAGATAGAGAGGGGGGGCAAGGGGGGGAGAGATAGAGAGGGGGGGGCAAGGGGGGGAAGTAGAGAGGGGGGGCAAGGGGGAGAGATAGAGAGGGGGGCAAGGGGGGAGAGATAGAGAGGGGGGGCAAGGGGGGAGAGATAGAGAGGGGGGGCAAGGGGGGAGAGATAGAGAGGGGGGGGCAAGGGGGAGAGATAGAGAGGGGGGCAAGGGGGGAGAGATAGAGAGGGGGGGGCAAGGGGGAGAGATAGAGAGGGGGGGGGGGCAAGGGGGGAGAGATAGAGAGGGGGGGGGGGGGCAAGGGGGGAGAGATAGAGAGGGGGGACAAGGGGGGGAGAGATAGAGAGGGGGGGGCAAGGGGGAGAGATAGAGGGGGGGGGCAAGGGGGAGAGATAGAGAGGGGGGGGCAAGGGGGGAGAGATAGAGAGGGGGGGGGCAAGGGGGAGAGATAGAGAGGGGGGGGGGCAAGGGGGGAGAGATAGAGAGGGGGGGCAAGGGGGGAGAGATAGAGAGGGGGGGCAAGGGGGAGAGATAGAGAGGGGGGGGGCAAGGGGGAGAGATAGAGAGGGGGGGGCAAGGGGGGAGAGATAGAGAGGGGGGCAAGGGGGAGAGATAGAGAGGGGGGCAAGGGGGGAGAGATAGAGAGGGGGGGGCAAGGGGGGAGAGATAGAGAGGGGGGGCAAGGGGGGAGAGATAGAGAGGGGGGGCCAGGGGGGAGAGATAGAGAGGGGGGGGCCAGGGGGAGAGATAGAGAGAGGGGGGGCAAGGGGGGAGAGATAGAGAGGGGGGGCCAGGGGGGAGAGATAGAGAGGAGGGAGCCAGGGGGAGAGATAGAGAGAGGGGGGGCAAGGGGGGAGAGATAGAGAGGGGGGGCAAGGGGGGAGAGATAGAGAGGGGGGGCAAGGGGGGAGAGATAGAGAGGGGGGGGCAAGGGGGGAGAGATAGAGAGGGGGGGCAAGGGGGGAGAGATAGAGAGGGGGGGCAAGGGGGGAGAGATAGAGAGGGGGGGCAAGGGGGGAGAGATAGAGAGGGGGGGCAAGGGGGGAGAGATAGAGAGGGGGGGCAAGGGGGGAGAGATAGAGAGGGGGGGCAAGGGGGGAGAGATAGAGAGGGGGGGCAAGGGGGGAGAGATCTGAGAGGGGAGGGGCAAGGGGGGAGAGATAGAGAGGGGGGGGGCAAGGGGGGAGAGATCTGAGAGGGGAGGGGGGGCAAGGGGGGAGAGATAGAGAGGGGGTGGCAAGGGGGGAGAGATCTGAGAGGGGGGGGCAAGGGGGGAGAGATAGAGAGGGGGTGGCAAGGGGGGAGAGATCTGAGAGGGGGGGGGGCAAGGGGGGAGAGATAGAGAGAGGGGGGGCAAGGGGGGAGAGATAGAGAGGGGGGGCAAGGGGGGAGAGATAGAGAGGGGGGGCAAGGGGGGAGAGATAGAGACGGGGGGGGCAAGGGGGAGAGATAGAGAGGGGGGGCAAGGGGGGAGAGATCTGAGATGGGGGGGGGCAAGGTGGGAGAGATCTGAGAGGGGAGGGGGGGCAAGGGGGGAGAGATAGAGAGGGGGGGGGCAAGGGGGGAGAGATCTGAGAGGGGGGGGGCAAGGGGGGAGAGATAAAGAAGGGGGGCAAGGCCGCAAGGGGGGAGAGATCTGAGATGGGGGGGGGGCAAGGGGGGAGAGATCTGAGAGGGGAGGGGGGCAAGGGGGGAGAGATAGAGAGGGGGGGCAAGGGGGGAGAGATCTGAGATGGGGGGGGGCAAGGGGGGAGAGATCTGAGAGGGGAGGGGGGCAAGGGGGGGAGAGATAGAGAGGGGGGGGCAAGGGGGGAGAGATCTGAGAGGGGGGGGGGCAAGGGGAGAGAAATCTGAGAGGGGAGGGGGGGCAAGGGGGAGAGATAGAGAGGGGGGGGCAAGGGGGGAGAGATCTGAGATGGGGGGGGGGGCAAGGGGGGAGAGATAGAGAGGAGGTGGCAAGGGGGGAGAGATCTGAGAGGGGGGGGGCAAGGGGGGAGAGATAGAGAGGGGGGGGGCAAGGGGGGAGAGATCTGAGAGGGGGGCAAGGGGGGAGAGATCTGAGAGGGGAGGGGGGGCAAGGGGGGAGAGATAGAGAGGGGGGGCAAGGGGGGAGAGATCTGAGAGGGGGGGGCAAGGGGGGAGAGATCTGAGAGGGGAGGGGGGGCAAGGGGGGAGAGATCTGAGAGGGGGGGGCAAGGGGGGAGAGATCTGAGATGGGGGGGGGCAAGGGGGGAGAGATAGAGAGGGGGTGGCAAGGGGGGAGAGATCTGAGAGGGGGGGGGGCAAGGGGGGAGAGATAGAGAGGGGGGGACAAGGGGGGAGAGATCTGAGAGGGGGGGGGCAAGGGGGGAGAGATAGAGAGGGGGGGCAAGGGGGGAGAGATCTGAGAGGGGGGGGCAAGGGGGGAGAGATAGAGAGGGGGGGCAAGGGGGGAGAGATCTGAGAGGGGGGGGGCAAGGGGGGAGAGATAGAGAGGGGGGGCAAGGGGGGAGAGATCTGAGAGGGGGGGCAAGGGGGGAGAGATAGAGAGGGGGGGCAAGGGGGGAGAGATCTGAGAGGGGGGGGGGCAAGGGGGGAGAGATAGAGAGGGGGTGCTGCGAGAGTGTTTAGGGGACGGGGGGAAGTGGGCGGGGCTGGGAGTGGGAGGCTGAAGAAACTGGAGATGCGGATATTTAATTTGTTTTATTTTTCTACCTACGTGACTTTTTGCAGCTATTAACATCGCATTTGTTATCACGCTACAGTGCATTGCCCGTTCATTCCCCATTCAAAACGCCAGATATATATAAACACACTTCGAAGCACCCTGTCTGTGTGAGACCCGTGCTGCTACGACCCCCCCCCCCCCCCACACGGCCCCCCACCACGCTTTAAAGAGCGCTGCGTGCGTTGTTACCCCAGGCAACACGTGGCAGGCACACAACGCTGAAGCCGTCACAGCGACACGCGGTGCAGAGTGGAGGGTGGGAGCGCACTGACCCTCTCTGTCTCTCTCCTGTTGTTGTTGTCGTGCCACTCGTCGGCAGAGATCTGACCTCATAGTAAGTCCGCCGACATTGTTGTTGTTGTTATTGTTAAATGGTCACGAGTTGCTGTTGTACCACGCGTGATCCATTTACAGATAACCCACCCGTACAAATGCCTTCCTCTTCGCTCGCTTCACAACCCACCGATTGAATCGGCGCGCGTGTCATTGTGAAAGCTGTGGCTTCCGTATCTTGAACCGCAGGTTGCTGTTGTTGTTGTTTTATTTCTTCAACCGATGTAACATTGAGTGTGTTGCATTGATCCTCGTGGGAGCAGCTGTCACGGAGGCTTTGAGATCACCACGTGCTGCTTTGTATCCGCAGTCCTCTGACAATTACGTGGTGGGGTGGCTATAAATGGATCAATCTGTGCACGTACATTCCCCGATTGTCCGTGTGTCGTGGTAGTGGAACCCGTTGTGCTGTGTGTGGTGTGTGCGGTGTGTATAGTGTGTGTGCGGTGTGTGTGTGGTGTGTGTGCGGTGTGTGCGGTGTGTATGGTGTGTTTGCGGTGTGTGTGTGTGTGGTGTGTGTGTGTGGTGTGTGTGCGGTGTGTGTGCGGTGTGTGTGGTGTGTGTGTGTGGTGTGTGTGTGTGGTGTGTGTGTGTGGTGTGTGTGTGTGTGCGGTGTGTGTGTGTGTGTGCGGTGTGTGTGTGTGGTGTGTGTGTGCTGTGTGTGCGGTGTGTGTGCTGTGTGTGTGCGGTGTGTATGCGGTGTGTGTGGTGTGCATGTGTGGTGTGTGTGCGGTGTGTGTGCGGTGTGTGTGGTGTGCATGTGTGGTGTGTGTGCGGTGTGTGTGCGGTGTGAGTACGGTGTGTGTGTGTGCGGTGTGTGTGTGTGTGCGGTGTGTGTGTGTGCGGTGTGTGTGTGTGCGGAGTGTGTGGTGTGTATGTGTGGTGTGTGTGCAGTGTGTGTGCGGTGTGTGTGTGTGTGCGGTGTGTGTGTGTGCGGAGTGTGTGGTGTGTATGTGTGGTGTGTGTGCAGTGTGTGTGTGCGGTGTGAGTACGGTGTGTGTGTGTGTGCGGTGTGTGTGCGGTGTGTGTGTGCTGTGTGTGTGCGGTGTGTGATAGCAGGAGTAGTCTTTCACAATATGTGCTGCTTATAAGAACGCGTGTCCTTTTTTTACGACATTTAATTTGCTTTTAAGGTTCTAAGCTGAAGTGTCTTTCTATAACCTCGAAGTGGACATGGTAAACAGACATTTAAAAATAGGCTACTGTTTATTCGTGAATATTTTAAACAACACGAAGATATATGTTTTAAAACGCAAACTTGTATTATTATTATTTCCCTGTACATGCGTAGAATTCGTGTTATTCCGATACGATGTTTCGGATAGTTTGGCAGGAAACCTACAACACAGCTTTGTAGTGCCAGGATGGGGGGTGGGGGTGAGAGGGGGGCTGGAGGGGGGGGGTGGCTAGAGGGGGGGGGGCTTGAGGGGGGAGTGAGAGGGGGCTGGAGGAGGGGGGGGCTTGAGGGGGGAGTGAGAGGGGGCTGTAGGAGGGGGGGCTTGAGGGGGGAGTGAGAGGGGGCTGGAGGAGGGGGGGGCTTGAGGGGGGAGTGAGAGGGGGCTGAAGGAGGGGGGGCTTGAGGGGGGAGTGAGAGGGGGCTGGAGGAGGGGGGGGCTTGAGGGGGGAGTGAGAGGGGGCTGTAGGAGGGGGGGCTTGAGGGGGAGTGAGAGGGGGCTGGAGGAGGGGGGGGCTTGAGGGGGGAGTGAGAGGGGGCTGGAGGAGGGGGGGCTGGAGGGGGGTGAATCCCCCCTGCTGACAGCCCCCCCCCCCCCACTCTAATCTGTCAGAGTCGCGTCAGTAGCATGAAGCGAAGTGCGTAGCAGCCTCGACTCATTGACACTGGGCGAGATCCCCGGCAGGACTCATAGCGGATAAAATCAGAACGCATCGTGACTCAATCTCATTGGCGTTTCAGATTTTGCCACGGTGGCGAGATGTTAACTACTTCGCTTGGTTTACAGGAGGTCGTGGGATCGATCCCGACCCTGACGCCTGCTGTATATTTGGAGTTTGCATGTCTCTCTCCCCGTGGTCGCGTGGATTTTTCTCCTGGTCCTCCGGTTTTTCCCTCAACATTTATAATCAACATGCGTTGAGAGTATTTGGCTGCTACAAATTACCACGTGATAAGCCACTTTGTCGAGCTATCATTTGTGGCCAGGTCGCTTCTGAAAAAGAGCTCCATAGTTCAAGTGGGCCCTTACCTGGTAAAATATAAAATAAATTGTTTAAGATTTGTTTAAAGTTTGCTAAATGTCCGTTGTGTTGTACCCCCCCCCCCCCCCCCGAGTTTGATTATGACCGAACATGGAGTCCTCTTTAAGCAAGCTATTAAATACCTCTCTGGCCCCTCTTATGTGCTGTGAACAAGGTCCATTGCCCAAAACGTCGCCTATTACTGTATAGACGTTTTATGTTTAAGGCCACAGTCTTATTCCCTGAATGTGTTGAGTTTTTGTTGTTATTGTGCATACGGCACCACTGCCAACGCAGCAGCAGCATCACCAAATCATTTCTTTCAAAAAGCTATGAATATCTCTGCTCGTTGTCATGTTGTTACTGCTTGTAAAATGTGACATTTTGCTCAAGGCAATGGGAATTATGTGAATGCCAAATCGCGCTGTGGGTAATTTGACCTGTGATCTGCGCCATGTGCTTGTGGCCTCATTCTATCCAGTCATTTCGTGCGCTTCGTTGCAGCAACCTTCGTGCCCACTCGGTCGCAGCAGGCCGAACGTTACCCGGGTAACCCACGTGTCACGGACTCCGTGTCCTTTCCGTGCATTAAAAACAAACCACAATAAGAGCCTCGTTTGAATTAAATGAATGCAAGTCAAGCCACCACGATCCGTGTTTATTGTTTTCATCTGCATCATAATCATCGTCGTCGTCGTCGGAGAAAACTTTGGGAAGAATGTATGAGGGAGGGCCAATTTTGGTAATTGGCTTTTAAATATCTGAGCAGGTAAGTGTGTGCGACGTTGTTGGAAGTGGTTTTATTGAACCGTGAGGACAGGGTAAAGGTTCGTTACGATGAATTAATATTTCAGAAAAAAATGTCCTGCTTGCGTGTCCAAAACAACAACTTACATTAAGGTCTGGCCCATTGATTATGGGCTTTTGAGGTAACGATTAAATACACACGAACATTTCTGCTTTGATGAAATACAATTACACCGCCATTACATTGTTTCGAGTCCTTTGTCAATCCACTGCTAAATGAAGGCCTCCCTACGCATTGTTGGTTTGATCGCGGGGTTTTTCCCCTTATATACACTTCAAGACGTTGAGTATCGTGGGTTGGTGAGGAGGGGCCTAAGACCAGTTGAGACGTCACTCACCACTGATGTGAGCCATGGCCTGGAATTCAACTCAGGCTGCTGGGTTCATAGTTCATAGGACGGGGTGGGGGGCGAGTCTGATTCAGATGACACTGCTGATGTGTGCCATGGCCTGAATTCAACTCAGGCTGCTGGGTTCATAGTTCATAGGACGGGGTGGGGGGGCGAGTCTGGTTCAGATGACATTGCTGATGTGAGCCATGGCCTGGAATTCAACTCAGGCTGCTGGGTTCATAGTTCATAGGACGGGGGGTGGTGGGCTGGGGAGTCTGGTTCAGATGACACCGCTGATGTTCTCCCTGCGCCGTGCCGGCTGTGGGGTTTGTCTCACCGCCACTCGCCACACTGGTCAGCGCAAGTCGGTGAAGGGGAGCCCAGAGAACCGGTTCAGGTGTTGCTTGTCGCTGATAGTCGTAGACGGAAATCAAACTGAAACACCTCCGATTAGCACGGTTGGCTACGTAGAGTGCGAAAAAAGTTCAACATACGTGCATGGATACAGAGCACATTGCACAAACCACGACGCCACTGCTCCATCCAACAAGACGAGTGGAAAGCAACACGTTAAGCCGTGGCAAACTGGACCACTTCACCGGATTAGTGGCTTGAAATGTATTTCTATGGGACCAGGAGACTGGGTTTCATGCTGTCTTTGCATAAACAAGGCTTTGGGTTGAAGCGATGTCATGATGAAAAACGATTTATTTTGCCCAACGATCCTTGTTGTGCCAAAGCATAAAATGTTGGGTTGCCTGTCACGTGAACATATTCCACTGCTGTGTGTGTGTTCCTACCAGACATGGAGACGAAAGAGGAGGCTGCTGATGCAGAGAAAGGAGCTGAAGGGAAGGAGATTGCCACGAGCCAGACTCCCGATACACCACAGAGTGCAGTCACAAGGACGTCAGGTTCGCCCAATGAGTAGAGCCGGACAATGCCATTATTCAAGCAATCGACTACTCGAGATTTGTTTGGTTCAATTACTTGTTTAATCTCAGCATGAAAACAGTTGTAAAAATGTCTCACGTCTTTTCCCACGTTTGGATGATAAGCGAGGCTTGGTGATGTCATCGTCATCATACACCACATCACGCCACACTTCTAGAGGGTTTCTTGCTTATCGAAGGCAGGATATTGGGGGGCGGGGGGGCACAATTTTTTTAAGTTAGTTGACCACAAAAAAGTAGCCAACAATAATTTGAGTTGATTAACCGACTCATTGTCTCAGCTCTACCACTTAGCAACAAAATAATAGGACTACTGGCGTGGAATGGTGGCGCATTGGTTAGCACACCACCTGAGTTTAATTCCCACCTATGGCGAATGATACTGGTAGGAACCTCCTTGTTACACCAGCCCACAGGGGAATATTGTGTCCGTCGTGCAGGGAGGGGTGGGGCTGGGTGGGGAGGGAGGGGCTGGGTGGGGAGGGTGGGGAGGGGCTGGGTGGGGAGGGTGGGGCTGGGTGGGGGGTGGGAGGGGTGGGGCTGGGTGGGGAAGGGCTGGTCACCCCGTGGTGCCCTTATAAAACTCAACGTTTAACCTACTCACGCCGGCTTGTGCCCGCCCTCACAGTCGGGCATATTTGCGGAATACACCACGCCGCCGTTGACCCTGGCCATTGACCGAGCAACCCAACGTTCCTACCAGCTCCCTCCACAGGAATGTGTTTTCTAAACTGGCCCAGGGTACCTCCTTCGCCAACTCGCACTGACCAACATGGTGAAGTGTGGTAAGAAAAAAAAACCCACTCGGATCATCAATAGGGTGTGAGATGTCTTTCACCTAGCAATAGTGGGTGGATGAAGGGTTGTACGTTACATTATAACAGAACCCTCGGGTTCATTCTGGGACTCCTTCAGCTAGCAAAGCGTTCCGCCGTGATATCATTGCACAGCCCCAGAAGGGTGACACCCTTACTTACGTACATACATATTTTTATCTAAAGCTTTCGTGACTGCAGGGATTCATATTCTTGGTTCTTTCGGTAAAGTCACTTAGAAGGGAAACAATAAAATAATAAAATATAAAACAATAAAAACACAGCAAAATTTTCTTGCTGTGGTTTTCACACCTGATGATGATTGCTTATGTTGCAGTCGAAACGTCGTGAGAATTGTTTTATTTTTTTTATTGTATTGTTTCCCTTCTACGTGACTTTACCGAAAGAACCACGAATATTACATACATACAGTTCAACATAAACACACGAGAGAACTGATTAACATGGTTGGCTACGTAAGTTCAACATGACATTGTGGACACTTCAATAGGGTGCTCTTACACAACGCTAGATGTCGCGCCTTCATACTCTGCAAAGAGTGTTTCGCCAAACAACAACAACATACATCTGTGTGCATTTAAAACGTATCTCCCTCCAGCATGGATAACTCAGAATAAACGGGGCGCTCTCGTGGGATCACCTCACGATCGGATGATGGCAAAGTTTAAATCCCAGTCAGTGGTTGACCCAACCCATCATCTCTCTCTGCTTTAGTTCAGTGAGTACCACTTTCTTTTTTGGTGAAGTCCGCAGCGGTTGTACTCTGATTAAGAAAAAAAACTCACTCCTCCCATAGGAAGGCGGAACTTCCACCACTGACGGCAAACAGGAGATTGGTGTGTACGCGAAAGCACTTTAACTTCCAAGTCTGTTCGTATTTGTGTCTGGACTCAGGGCCATCATGCCCACTGCTTGTGAAAACCCGAGTTTAATCGCAGGCTCCCGCCACGGTTCCATCTCCATGGTTATCTATCGTTCCATTTATCCGGAATGGCCATTTCGATCCCTCTGTGCCACCCGGCCACCTCAATTAAGGCATCGGAATGGTTTTCTGTGAGCTTTTTGCACAGACTCAACTCATTGATTGCCGTCAAAGGCACTGCCAAATAAAGTGATGAGACAAGATGGGTAATGATGATGATGATGAGCGAGCATCGCTGCTGTTATCGTTACATGTGCAAACATGTGCGTCGTGTGTATACAAGAGTGTATGTGCTTCGTGTAGCGGTTAGCGCGCTGCGCTATGAACCCGGCGACCCGAGTTCGATTTCCGTTCACGGCCAACACCGGTGACGATTATCTGAAATGGTCCTGGGCCTCCCCGTAGGTCGACTCAGCCTTAAATGAGTGTCTGGTGCTGTGTCAGTTCTGGAAAGACAAAGGTGGCTGGGGGCAGTTTCTGCTGGGCCACCCAGCCTCGTGTACCATGCTGGCCTTCATGGGTGCTCGCTAATTAAGTTCTTATCCCAACATATTCTTTGGTTCTTTCGGTAAAGTCACGTAAAAAAAAAGTGAATAAAAAATGTTAAATATAAAAAAACACAAATGTAGACTGTAGCCTTGTTCTTAATTCGAGTGAATGTACTGGCAATCTATAATGTAGACTGTAGCCTGGTTATTAAGTTTGGTGAGTGTACTGGTAGTCTATAATGTAGACTGTAGCAATGGTTATTAGGCTGGGTGAGCGTACTGGCAGTCGATAATGTAGACTTTTTTTATCACTTTATTTCCTGCAGTCACGAAAGTTCTAAGTCAAAACTTACCCCAACAGTCGGTTAAAAAAGTCTTACAGGGGAGACATTTGTCTGTGTGTATGTAGGCCTACTTATTCCTGTGTGTTTGTGTGCTGTGCGTACCTATGGGGACCCACCCCGGGACCCATCCCCTCATGTGCCTTCATAGGTGCTTGCTACTCGCTAACAGCACTTGCCCCAACAGTCTATTAAGGCTATACAGGGGATCTTTGTCTTTGGTGTCGGTGGTAATGATGATAGGTGCGCCACGCTAGCAGCTCTTGCCGCAACAGTCTGTTAAGGCTATACAGGGGATCTTTTTCTTTGGTGGTGTTGGTGGTGGTGTTGGTGTTGGTGGTGATGGTGGTGGTGTTGGTGGTGGTGTTGGTGGTGGTGGTGTTGGTGGTGCTCGTGGTGGTGGTGGTGGTGTTGGTGGTGGTGTTGGTGGTGGTGTTGGTGGTGGTGTTGGTGGTGGTGTTGGTGGTGGTGGTGTTGGTGGTGTTGGTGGTGATGATAGGGGGGGGGATCTTCGCCTCTTGTCTGTGGACGCAGCAGGCACGCGGCACCGCGCGCCGTCTCGCCCTGGAGCTCCGAGCCAGGCGGAGCGGCAGGCGCGTCTCATCGGGCAGCTCAAGGCGGCCGAGGCCAGGGCTCGCATCCGTGCCCTGCGCCTCCGCTACCAGCGCATCCGTGTGCGTTGTTCGCAACTGACCCCCTGGGGGGGGGCGGGGGGAGCGGGGGGGGGGGGGGGCCCGGCCCCCGTCGACTTCACGACTCCGGCGTCACATTCTGTGCCATTGACGCGTGCGGCAGCGAGCGCCAATGTCGAGGTCCCCGGTGGCGTTAGCGACATTATCAGTCGAAGTTATCAGCTCAGAGGGTGCGGCGATCGGTCAGGGTGGGGGTGGGGGGGCCCAACATTTGATTTGTCTCTCACGGTCACACCGAGGCTATATATCACGGCTCCTCTTACCGAATCACATCATGACATAAGTGTTTGTTCTTTTACACGTATCTCATGATGGTTGTCAAGGGGGCCCCAACTTGGACCTTTGGCCACCGGGTGTAGGGGGGAGGGTCGAGGCACCCCCTGCCCCTGTGCTAGTTACGCTACTGGGAGGTCTGCTGAACGATGGCTCATGCCGCGGGCCCACGAGCCCTGGGGAAAGGAAGCAAGCCGGCCCGGACAAATTGGCTCGGCCAGAATTCCCGCACAGTGGCGAGATGTTAACTTGTTTTTGTTTATTTTACCAAGTAAGGCCCGACTGAGCTGTACGGCTCTTGATTAGAAGTGGCCTGGCCACAAATGATAGTTCGACGAAGTGGCATATCGTGTGGAAATGTATAGCAGCCGAATACTCTAAGACGCATGTTTGTAAATGTGGAGGGGAAAAACCGGAGGACCCAGAGAAAAATCCACGTGACCACGCGGAGAGAGAGAGACACGCAAACTACAAATATACAGCAGATGTCAGGGACAGGATGGAACCCACGACCCCCTGTAGACCAGGGGAGGTAGTTAACATCTCCCCACCGTGGCACCGTGTATTAAACATACCACGCAGTAATGTATTTTTTAAACTTTGCTGGGTTGAAGTCATTCGTTTATTTTTTCTTTGGTTCCATTTTATTATTTTGTATTTAAGAATATTGTAATCAGACGATAAAAGAAACACATCAAGCTTGCTTGGTCCTATTCTAAATATCACGTTGCACTTCATGAATTGTTTAGATGTATTTTTAAAATATACATTTATAGAATTTACAGTACTTATGCCATCTCGGCCTGTAAAGTCACGACACCTTGGGCAACCCCGTGCTCTGACAGGGCATCTTTTGCTACCCCCAATTGTGTGCATAGCAACAGATAAGCACCGTGGTTACATCTCCAACACTTACAGGCAAACAGCAGCTGTTGTTGTCCTGTACAAAGTATAAAGGTCAAGGAATTCCCTCCAGAGGTGGACGGATGATCGAGGGACTTTTACGTCCAGCGCAGACGGAGTTCAACATCCAAAATAAACCACGAGAGCCATACATCAGCACTCCTAAGATCCTGGAATTTAAATCCAGAATTTAGCCATTCATTATATATATATGTCACTGTGTAACAATACAATCATTTTGTTCCTGGGTAGTAAGTGATATTTCCTAATTGCTTATGTCTCAAAAGTACAGAAAATTGCTATTATTCCCCACAAACTTTGCTTTTGTGACCAGGACAGTGATATTTTGAAATGTACATATTTTCAATGAGAAAACGTGGTGTGCATTTGTGTCTTTCGTTCACGTAAAGTCCTGGTCACAAAAGCAAAGTTTGTGGGGAATAATAGCCATTTTCTATACATTTTAGGCATAATCAATTAGAAAATAACACTTAGTACCCAGGAACAAAATTGTGTTACATCGTGAATTATCAAACTGAAACTTGGTACATTTGTCAACAACTCTGCGTTAATTGTATATATATATATATCTCTCTAATAGGTGACGTTTCTGGCAGTGGCTCTTCTTCATTGCATGTAAATAGCACGCCGTGTGCGATAAAAATGTTTTGAGTATTATGTGGGATTGTGTGCACTACTGCCAATGCAGTATCACCAAATATTTGGTATAATCATAATGAGTTCATTAATGTAGCAGGGTGAATGTATTCTTGAGTTATCAAGAATACATTCACTTCATTTAATTCATGCCAGTTCTGAAAATTAAACATTTCAGTTTGACATGTGTTATACGCCCCTTTGTGGAACATATGAAAGGTTTATCCTTCGTGTGGAGCAAAGATAGTTTGTTGAAGTGACTTCAGGAGTAGTTTTGTGAAATAATATTCCAGGACCACGACTCTCACCGTGGCACCGTTTGAATGAACGTTGCTTGGGGGAATGTTTCAAAGTGTTCCTTCGGCAGCCGTCAGAATTCCATGTTTTCATCGGCAGGCAAACGAGATCAACCACCTTGTCGCCAGCCAGCCGACAGCCACGAAAGCGATGCGCCTGGAGGCTCTGCTACCAACCAAACCGAGCTCTCCAGAGCCTCCTGACCCACTCGATAAGCTGCAGGTAACCGACGTTTCACACGAGCAGACGTGCACCTTTGGAGTCAAGTCATTTGTAACTGAGTTGGGTGAGTTGTCTTGAAAAAGAAGGAGAAGGGGGGGGGGGAGGAGGAGGTAGATTCGTGAAGGGGAAGCCCCTGGACCAGTTCAAATGTCACTCGCACCTGATGGGACTTGTAGCGCAACGCATTAAATACTGTGCCACCACCACTCCATCCCATTAATGTTAATGGGACACCACAATTCTATTTTGAGTGTTTGGCTGCTGTACATTTCCACAACAATAATTTCGTTGAGCTATCATCGGTGGCCAGGTCGCTTCTGAAAAAGAGCTATATAGTTCAGTGGGCCCTTACCTGGTTAATAAAAAAAATAGTTTAGTTTTCTAGTTTATAGTCTATTCAACACAAAAGCCTTGAGATCAATCATCAATCAATCTTCATTTTACGTGCCAATATCGCCCGGAGCAACAGGAATGATAGAAGAAACCCGTCACCACCTCAGCGGCAAACACCGACGGATCAAAGTAAATTGCAACCGCGCACAAAATAAAGTGCAACCGTGCCCAACAGATAGCGTAAGAAAAGTAATTAGCGATTAAAAGTAATAAGCAAAAAAGCGAGGGAGGAGAAGGTTTGCCCCCTTTTTAAAATTTGGGGTCGAGATGTCCCTACGAAAAAAATTACTTCAGTAATTTTAAATTCAGAAATGGCTTTTAGTTACTCCTTACTTCCCGGTAAGGAGTTTCGTGACCCAGTGCAATAATAGACGCTAGCTGAATAAACAATGCCTGTCTTTACAGACAGTCGGCAAGCACACCAATGTAATGTGTGCCCAGTCGGACACTATTACTCAACCATTACCACGTGTTAGAATGCGGGGCAATGTGACCTGGCATGGTTGTCCTCAGTCTAAAATAAGTACCGTACTCTGCAGCACTCAGTGCACCGGGCGTATTAACTCCGGCAACGATTGTAATTACCGGCGAGACGTCGTATTCGAATGGTGAATGTTGTGGGTTTACTCTCTCCAACGCATCGGTGTGCTGAACGAATAACGAGTTGGCACATTTCGTTTACGCGACAACCCTTACTAACGATGCGTTTATATTTACGCGACCTAACCCAAATAAAACCTCCATTATAGATAATATTGGTCGTGAAAGCCTGCTGATACGTGTTGAACTGACTCGGGCAATTTGGAGAGAGGTAGCAAGGCATGAGAGTGGTCTTGCCCACACCATCACATTGTTTTTATTTATATATACCGATGTCAACAGGTGCTCGCGAATAACCGTTGCCCCAAGAGTCGATAATGTCGATACACTCTTTGGTTCTTTCGGTAAAGTCACGTAGAAATAAAATAAATGTAATAATCGAATACGACGTTTCGATTGCAACACAAGCAATCGTCATCAGGTAAGAATGAATGAGAAAATAAACCTAGTAAACTTAGAAATATAATGCAATACAAGTCATTCATAATAAACGTTTTTGGGTTAGATCGCGTTATTTATAAATGTGTCGTAACCCTCCACCACCCGACACGGCCAATCAGCAAAAAAAGTGTTGCTGTATGCAATTACCAGCGAAACGTCGTACTCAAAAATTGTAAATGTTGTGGTTTCACTCTTCAACACACCGGTGGGCTAAAGTAGTAAACTATTTGTCTTTTGTCAACGTCACACTTTTTTTGCTGATTGGCCGTGTCGGGTGGTGGAGGGTTACGACACATTTATAAATAACGCGATCTAACCCAAACACGTTTATTATGAATAATATTGGTCTCGAAAGCCTACGTGTTAAACTAACACAAGTCAACACCCTACCTGGTTCATTACGTTCTTCCAAAGATTGCTAAATTTGAGAGAGAGACAAAACACAGACACGGAGACACATAGACACACAAGCAGAGAGAGACACACACATAGATACAGTATATCTCTAGGCTACGGTTTATTTTATATATATTTCTTAGTGCATTTTAGATTTTCTTTGTGCTCGCTAATGCTTCACAACCGAAACTCGTCGCTAATGGTCGCTCTGTCGTTCGCAATCATATCCCGTGTGGAGAGGGGGGGGCTGAAGATGGAGCGTAAATGCTGCGACCATCCGTGTTCATCACGATCAGAAGTGCGTGTTGTGGTATTGATGAGCGAGATGTGGAATGGCCACAACGTAGAAACTTGACCAGACGATCACTATTCACGAGGCTAATGTGAACAGACAGCAGCACCGCTCGTTGTTCTGTTCCTGTGCTTGCCTATCATAAACAATATATATTACATAAGGAAGTAAATACACGCAATTTTGATGGGAAAACGGTCTAACAACACCCATGACTGAACCGGTGTCGGGAGGTGCTCACGCTCTATTGGATAGGCAAAAGGCCGTTTATTAGAATTGGCTATGCAAAGGCTTGCAGAGTCTGAAGGCTTTTGTTAAGAGGCTGTTTGCGTGGAATGTTGACCACTGATCATTGTGATCTTGGGAGAAAACCTGCGCTCACTGGGCGCTGACCCGGCCTCCTCCCGTGCGGCCCCCAGACTGTGACAATCACTTCCACCAGCCATTGGGTCCACGCTGAGTTTCTAGCTGCTCCTTCCAATCACACCTTGAGACATCATCTCTTGTTGAAGGTCTTTTGACTTAACCTTGAGGTTTTTTTTATTTTATTTCATGGATGTTCTTATCACTAGACTGCATGCTTTTTATTGGGGTTTAACAGTTATTTTCCTGATATATATTTCTATTTTACCTCTATACAGAACTTTGCAACCTTTGCGTGAAAGGTGATTTAAAAGTGTGAAAAATATTATTAGTATTATATAAATATCTGAATGTAGGTCATAAACCTTCTGCATGTATAGATATACAAATATATATTTATAACTACAAATTTACATGTCCCATCTCAATCAATCTTGTATGAAGGGATTGTATAAAAGAAATTGGAAATTTGAGTGGAAATACATTATTTTATACTGTATTGTATTTGTTTCTACCTCTGTATATTCAAATTATAGTTAGTTTAATTTCACCGCACCCCCTCTGTGGTAGACGTCCTCTCGGCTGTGTTCTCTCCCTTGGCTGGCACGCCACAGTTAATCTTGATCACCTTCCATCATCCCTTCTAGCGGTGTCTCCTACCCATGCCCGCTTACTTTTGTTAAGAGTCAAAACCACGTCTCTTGCTTGCATATGTTTTCTACCTCACGTGTTCCTCTTCCTGTCTCTCATTGTAAATCCCAAGCATGCATCTCTCCGTGCTTTTTTGCACACCCTTCATGTTTCGTTACATTTTACGACCTTAATAATAACCGTTTTCACCAAAATTGCCTCTATTTACTTCCTTATGTCATACGTTTTATGATAGACAAGCATAGGAACAGAAAAACGAGGAACAGACAAACGTGCATAGAGAATAAGGCTTTAAGTCAGTGTTACAGCATTCCCTGTGAAGGTATATGCATCAAAAGGTGACACTGTTTATTACGAATAAATGCAAATCCTTTTCTGAACTATGATATTAAATGTGACTTGTTTTGTTGTCCACAGAGGTTTCGGATCGAGCAAATATTGGAAGACGAACAGGGACTGACCACGAAGCGGACCATTTAACCCGGGGGGGGGATTAATCACTGAGATGATCTGCTATCGACTGCCATGTCTCCCTCTGGCAGTGCCGCAACTTCTCTCGCGGGCAGGCAGCAGTATAAAATGCTCTTCAACACGGAGAAGGCCAATCAGTCTGCACGTCTGTGCCTTGCTCGACGTCTTAAATGCAGTATACGTTTATGATTTACATCGAAAGAGAGGGAGCACGCCTCCGACATAAAGCACTGAGCTCTCTATGCAGTAAGCCTGACGAATCTTTGTGTCGGTGTTTTATTTCCGCCCCCCCTCCCCCCATCATTGACACTCGCCACCCCTCTATCACTGAAGTTGTTTTGTCCAGCGGCCGCCCAAGTAGCAGCTCCACAAAGCGCAGCGGCGCCGCATCCTCTCTCTCAAATTGTCGCCCGTTCGCCCCCTCGTCGCAGAGGCTCACAGTTTCGAACCCTACGGCCGCTGCGGGTGTCTGTCGGCAAGTTGCCGCACGTCGTGTCACCTCTAGAGTGGACGTTAAATATCCCGTGACGTCGTTGGCAAGAGTAGGCCACCGTGTTCTGGCGTTATGGTCCAAAAAATTGTCAATTTTTTATGGAGTACGTGTACACCGCAAATGACTCAATTTTGTAATACATACTCTTTGGTTCATTCGGTAAAGTCACGTAGATAGAAAATGTAATACTGGTAGGAACCTCCTGGTTACACCAGCCCACAGGGGATTATTGTGTCCATCCGTCGTGCAGGGAGGGGCTGGGTGGGGAAGGAGGGGCTGGGTGGGGAGGGGAGGGTGGGGAGGGGCTGGATGGGAAGGGTGGGACTGGGTGGGGAGGGGCTGGGTGGGGAGGATGGGGCTGGGTGGGGAGGGGCTGGTCACCCCGTGGTGCCCTTATAAAACTCAACGTTTAACCTACTCACGCCGGCTTGTGCATATTTGCGGAATACACCACGCCGCCATTGACCCTGGCCATTGACCGAGCAACCCAACGTTCCTACCAGCTCCCTTCGCAGGAATGTGTTTACAAATGTTCTAATACATGTAACGTATACATAGCAATCATCGCCCCCTACTGCGAAAACTTAGAAGGACCTTCCTGAACAAGAGTCGTGAGACACTAAGGTTGTATTGGTGCAATAATAGGTTTTTAATGAATCAGGGTGTGAATCCGCCAATGGCAAAAAAAATCACTTGAAATGCGACCGATCTGCGGGTTCGCGTTGTGGACAGCAGATGGCAATGCAGACAATTCCATTATTGTACGGTGCTTCTACACTCCCACGTTGAAGCTCCCCAACATTACCAACCCGCCCTAACCAGCGTGGGGAAATACATCAACATCCCGGCTTACGTCGGGGATGCGATCCTGAAAGGTGCGACGTCGAACATCGAAACGACGTGAATCGAAGCGATTCACAGGTAACCGTGGAGGCGATGGCCGAGGCGACGGATACGAGAAAGGACGGATGATCCTGTTAGCGACGTAAGCGTGGGTTGAGGCAACGCAAATCAGGTAGTGGTGTTACAAAAATAAATGACGACGTATTTGCGAAACGACGTTAATGGGTTATGGGGGGGGGGACCGTAAATCGGGGTATTGCTGCATTTTAAAAATAACCGCCCACGAAATTCACGGCGTGGGGAGGTCGTCATCCAGCAGTTGATCGGCATAAGGGCTGTACATGTGTGCATGATACGACACCTAGTTCCGACCCTTAACCGGGGCATCTCCCAACGTCTGATGCTGCCGCTCCATCTATGGAAAGTCGCGGTCCCTCGGGAGACAGGATTACTCATTATGACCTTCATGGTGTGGCCATAGCGGGTTTTTGTTTTGTTTTCGCTACGGAAATCAAGACGCGTTAATCCCCGCTCGTTTCGTAGCACTCACCCGTGGGTTCAGGCGGAGAGGGAGCTGTCCCGTTCAGCACCACCCCAATGAGGCTGCTGCCGACACAGCGTAAACCTCTGATATTGCGTATGGCTTTTCTCAGCCACTGAAGAACTTAAAGGTAAGCAGTGTGTGTGTGTGTGCGTGTAGTCTATAGTTGTTGTTTTTGCAGTGAGAGCTTAAAAACTGTCGCAGTAATTATTAATTGCCTTATGGCGACTCCGGTGAATAGATATGCAACGATGTACGCATTATAGCCATTGCAATGCGATTTCGAATCATGGCTATTAGGATGTTATTTTGTTTTTTTTTCCAATTTGTAACAACGTTTTGCGTCAACAATATGCACTTCACACATCACGCGGCAGTAAATGTCAGTATAATGTGATCAGAGCGCCAGTACCTAACGCTTCCTGTACATAATACATTTCCACACAACACACAAAATAATAATAATAATAATAAAATGTTCAACATTGCCAAAGCGGATAGTTAAATCAATGTCATGTAACACGCCACCGAACACCAATTTGAGACTAACACGTTTCATAACACCCTGCTAAACTTCAAACAAGTTATTTTCCTGCATTATCTTTATTTTTTACTATGTTTTTTTTTTCCCGGAGAGCAGGGAATGTACATTTCCGCAAAAAAAATTATGATTGAATACTTGTCCCCGTGTTGCAGATACTATCGTCTCCATCTGGTGGATACAGAGGGCGCTACATCAGCCAGTGCAAGCACTGACGACGGTTGCGTTTAATCGCTGCGTCGATGTCATTAAATTGCCAACTTTAGACGGAATGTACTGCGATGTCCTCCAAGGGGAGGGGATTGCATTGCGTTGAATGAGACACAATTATGCCGTCACGTTTGGGTGAAGGCATCGTTTGTGTTGTTTGAAGAAGTAAAAATTAATATAGGACAATGCATCAGACGGCCACATGGCTGAAACAATTCAGAAATGATTTAAAGCTTTCGTGACTGCAGGGATTCATATTCTTGGTTCTTTCGGTAAAGTCACGTAGAAGGGAAATAATAAAATAATAAAAATATCAAACAATAAAAATTCTCACGACGTTTCGACTGCAACACAAGCAATCATCATCAGGTGAGATTTTTTCATCAATTACCTGATGATGATTGCTTGTGTTGCAGTCGAAACGTCGTGAGAATATTTATTGTTTTGTATTTTTATTATTTTATTATTTCCCTTCTACGTGACTTTACCGAAAGAACCAAGAATATAATTCAGAAATACTTTGCTGGAGCCCTAGAGCCGGTACCTCTGAGAATGTCGATTCGATCAAACATACATTTTTCAAGTCATTAAACATTATCTAAATCTTTCAAACCTAGACTCAAAACTCAATTCTTTAGAACTGCTTTTTGCGTTTAGTCTTGTCCTTCGACTAGCACGGTTGGCGACGTACTTTGCGATAGATGTTCAACAACCAGTACACGCAAACATTATTCCTAACGCTTGCCAGGGTCAGACGGATGACGTACAACACGTGTTTGCAACAACTCATCTGTAAATCTTGAGCTCTTTGAGCGGCGTTTATTGTCGCGCGGCGTTGTGTAAGACGAATGTGGAGGCGGGGTATTGTGCCGACAAATAGAACCCACACAACAGGATTAATCCCGGCAAACAAGTCACCGTTGTGGCCCAACGCTGACTGCATAAGATCTCCCCGACAATTCACCATGGCGGGCAATCCCCTCCGCACTCCTTCTTGGGGTGCGTGCATATCTCGTATCTCGTATTGCACGCGCAAAAAAAAGCGACGCAAAAGTCCACGAAATAAATCGAATAAAACTCAACGTTGTGTTTCAGTTTCCCGGCTGTAATTCCACGCTCGGGCCAGCGAGCTGGGTGGGTGCACGGGGCGGCAGGTGGTGGGATTCTCTGTAAGTGGAGAAGCTCCAAGTGCTGTGCGTAATCACTCACTCGGTCCATTATTTGCTCAGCTACATCATTCTATAAAAGCATTGTCTTTGTGACTGCCTCGGTACATCAACAACGAGGGAGCCGTAGCTTCTACTGGGGAGATGCCCTCTGCATTCATGTGACGCTTTAGAACGCCGCGGGCAAGAATCTGTACTGTGTGTTTGAGTTGTGCGAGTTCTGTGTGGTTCTTAATCCCACAACTAATACATGCGATGTTGTAAAACAGCAAACGTTAGGCGCTGTTCATTGGCTAGCATTTAATAGTCCAGATTTGTCTTGCTTTGCCGCTGGATAATTTTGTATTGGAAACCCCAATAGGCAGATGACTCAGAGCTTCCATTTGCATGCAGTGATAGAACGGACGTCTGTTGATACGTTATTCCCAGCAATGATTTACATCAATGCATAATGACTTTGTATGTAATGGATAGTTCACGGGTTTTAGATGAGCATTAGATAGTATTTCCGTATTTTGTTTGGTAGCGAATTTAACTAAATCGATAGAAAGTGAGCCCAGTTGAAATCTGCCCACGTTGGTTTAAGGTTTCGACTGTGGTGGTGGCGCACTGAGACTGAACGACCTAGATTTGAAGTTTTTGTGACTGCAAGTATCCATACTCTTTGGTTTTTCGGTAAAGTCACGTAGGTGAAAAATAATAAAAATGAAAACAACTAAATTAAATCACGACCGTTTCGGAAGCAACACAAGCCTCCGTCTTCAGGTGGAACCGCCACAGCAAAATACTTTAGAGCAACAACAAGAGAGCTTTCGATTTAAAGCTTTCGTGACTGCAGGGATTCATCTTCTTGGTTCTTTCGGTAAAGTCACGTGACTTTACCGAAAGAACCAAGAAGAACAAGAGAGCTGTTTCTCTGAACAGCTCTCTTAAAAGTTGTGATTTAATTTAGTTGTTTTCATTTTTATTATTTTTTACCTACGTGACTTTACTGAAAAAGCCAAAGAATACTGAACGACCTCTTTGTAAAGCCGTGATTGTCTCAAACGACTGATGCGGATTACAGTCACACTGGCTGCGGACCATGATCTGGATTGGATCAAAAATACGTCCACATATGAGCGTAATTATCTCCTTGATGAAAACACTGTTACAGAAAAGCCAATTTGTATGCCTATCGCAGTATGTATATTTCAGTATATCATGGGAACAAGTGGCCTGGTCTATTCCAGTCAAATCTGATGGATGCCTTACATTAAGTGGAAACGGGAGTCTACACCGCAATCGTTTAATGGCCCATCATCCACATCATGCAGAGTATGAAAATGGGGGTGATGCATGTTACGTAACGCAAGACAACGATCATCGCACGAGCACTCTCACGCTTTCTCACGCGCTCTCTCAACGCAGACTGCATGTGCGATGATTAAATCTGTAAGCTGCTGGCTTCGTGGTGGACAAAATTTTAAAAATGCGCACGCCACGTTTTGCGCTTTCGATGTTGCGTGGCCCGCGATTGGGCATTATCGCGAAACGTCATGGCCCAGTGACGTCGAGTGGTTGGAATGGGCCTTGCTGTACGGAATAAAGTAGGTGGATATCCAGCGCGTCACCGTCTTCGGAACCTGCTGGACGGACGCATTCGGCCCGTGAGCCCCGTGCAGTTACACCGCCTGCATCCCCCCCTCCCCCCCTCAACCATTATATATACGGAGTGGTATCTCTTGTAATTTCTCATTTACTTGATACAGCTATCGTGCTGTGACGGTTCCACCTGAAGACGGAAGCTTGTGTTGCCTCAGAAACGTCGTGATTTTTATTTTTATTTTATTTTTATTTTACTTTTATGAATTTGAATGTTTTTCACCTACCTGACTTTACCGAAAAAACCTAAGAATATGAATCCTTGCAGTCACGAAAGTTTAAAATCTAGAATGCAAACACATTGTCGCTGGCGCCGCTGCTACACGTACGCAAAAGCGCAGCTGCCCGTGGTATATGCCGACGACGCCGCTCACATTGGGACCATGAGTCACGGCAGCAGAGCCGCCCGCACAAACGCCAGACACGAACCCAGCCTTCACCGATGTGCACTTGGCCACGGGTTTTATTCCAGACCCTGACTCGTGTACAGAGGGAGTCCGCGTGTTTTCTCTCCCCGTAATGGTCGCGTCCATTTTTTCTCTGGGTCCTCCGGTTTTGCTCTCCGCAATTATAAACGTGCGTCGACATTATTTGGCCGCGACTATGAATCCCCACGTATGATATACGCCACTCCGATGAGTAATGACTTGTGGCCAGGTTGCCTGTGAGAAAAAAGCGAACAGCGCAGTGGGCTTGACCTGGTAAAATTAAATGCAGTAGTTTAGTTTCTGGTTCGTGTGCGCTGATGAACAGTGCTGGACATTTTCAAGCTTAATTTTAAAACATGATTTTTTTATGTATACTTGTGTGTTTCCCGGAGGGCAAAGACATCCTGACTCAGGCCCTGTCGCACACATCATCATCATTATCTCTATATAATTACTGTACTTGTATATATATAACCAGTTACGTCTGCTTGCTTGCCGACCTGTCCTGCTGGTGTGTGCGTGTGTTTGGATAAGATAACTCTCGTGCCTGATTGTGAATGTGGTTTGTAAACGCGTTGAGAGCCGTGTGTCATACGCCCATCCGCGGAGTTGCTGGGGTATGAGGCAGTACAGAAAGTAGGGTTAGAGCAAAACGTTGTGACGGTGGAGTGTGTTCCCCGCGTGCGCGTGAGGATTTCTCCAGCAACCTTGGTGCCTTCCCACATATAAACAAGTCCTTTCGCTACCCGTGGATTATTATCATCGCATCAGCTACAGCTGTGGAGGCGTGAGTGTAATCTTACGGCTTTCCCTTTGATTTTAAGTCGGTTATTCTCAAGAACGACTTGTACCATGAACATGATTACTCTGCGCAAATCAATACACCGATGAACACGTTTGAATGTCAGTGGCCGTACCCTGTGAATAAATAACAATTCACACAGCTCGTCTATTCAACCCACATCACTACACTGCTTGACACACTTAAGTTACGTACATCCCACAACATACACAGCACGCTGCACACACACACACACCATACTGTGAACACATACGCCTCACGCTACGTACACACGCTACGTTAAAGGTATAAGCAACGTACACACACGATATGAATACTCTATAGAAACATCGCATTACATGTATTGTACATATAGCTACACCAAACAGTCTGCATACTACCACACCACATATCACATGGCACAACTATGTCGCGGCGCTTATGCCAGGCTAGGTGCACATTGAGGCCACGTTAAATGTCGAAGGCCCGCTGGCAGGAGGTGCCATGGGTTGCCTGACTGAGATGACTGGCAAATGCACCAGCTGTGGTCCCCACTGTGCACATCAGACAACCACTCACAAGGAGTGGCGACTTCCTCCAATATTTGAGGCACAGCAGCACCAGCAGGGTCAATTGCACCGTGCCACGGGATGTTTTTCTGGCTGAAGGGTTTCCCCTCCCCCAAAGACCTCACAGAAATGCTCAGCAAAACATGCGAACCTGTTTTGGGGGGTCGGAGATAGAGTTTCCGTTCTTTCCCTTAGGATGGTGATATGTGTGGTGCTGCAAGTTACTTTGTTGATGGAGTTAAAGAGTGATTTGTTGAAGCAGTTTCTATTTCCTCAGCAATTCGCGACCACCACTCGTCCTTCCAGCGCCGCTCGGTACTAAAAAACAAAGTTATCGACGCCGACTTTAGAGCGTGGTTATGTTCTCAATTTGTCATTTTCGCGCATGATCTCACTGTGATCCACCAATTCCACCTCCAGACAATCGCGAGGATGTTTCTCTGATTCCCCCAGTGTTGTTCCCCTCCACGTCTAGAGACATAGAGTGCGTTTGTTAGTTTATTTGGTTGCTTTAAATTTCCAAATAAGCCACTACGTTGAGCTCCCACTTGTGATAACCAGGTTGCTTCTGGAAAATAGCTGTATCGCTCAGTGGGCCTTAACCTGGTACAACAACAAACATAGAAGGCTGGGCTGTATGCGCGCGTCACGACTCTCCTCATTGTTTATTCGGCTTCCTCTCGGGCCGTGGTAACAATAAAAGCGGACTGCGATGGAATCACCGATCTTGCTGATATTAGCCAATCGAATGAAGGGGGGGGGGGTGTCACATGATAACTTGATCCATGGATCGATTGGCAATCAATCGACACAGCTATCAACCCTCAAATTACGATGAACCCGGCATTTTTGAATGTTTGTTTTCGTTGGATTGGCTGAGCGGAATCCATACAATCAATCTCGATTTACGATCCCCAACACCATGTTTGGGCAAAGACACGGCCCCTTCGGCCAGAGGCACGCTCACTCGCTGCCACATCATGTCGGGGGGTGAGTGGGTGGGGGGGGGCAAATCTCTGATCGGTGATTCTGTTGGGTGTACGAGTTTATCCCTATCACAGCGCCACCGCTCCTAGGGCGAGGCGCCGCGTGGTGGCCACGGCGACTTACTGCAGGGCAGAGGTCGCAAACGGGTTTTGATAAGGATCATTACCCGTACCCGGCCGCACCAGGGTCGCAAACGGGTACCCGTACCCGGCCGGGTACGGGTAGGTTACGGGTATCGGGTACCTGATTGCGACCCCTGGGATGAAGCCATGTTGCAGGCGCGGGTGGGTTGATTCTAGGAACTTGAATTGTGAGAAGAGACAAGACGTTGGGAAATGAGTGACAAACAGTTACTCACCAGTGACTCACGGTCTACCCGTACCCGTACCCGGCCGCACCAGGGTCGCAAACGGGTAGCCGGGTATCGGGTAGGGTACGGGTATTGGGTACCCGGTTGCGACCTCTACTGCAGGGCTCATCCTGAAAGCCGGGCCACGGGGGGGGGGGGGGGGGGTCCCACTCGCAACGATTCCATTCTGATCTGCCTCGACGGGACATTGCGTGTGATGGCGAGTCTGTCCCAGGAGCGAGATGCCAATGCGTGCGTGGAGGTGCGCGCAGTCACGAGGGGGCTTCAGGCGGAGAGCTCGTGCACTTCCTGCTGTTCCTCCTCCGTCGAAGGAGCGCAGATTACAGGGATGAACGACACTGCACACGTAGCACGCGCATCGTCGTGTTCTTTAGATAACCGTATTTTGCTGCTATGTCCACGTGATAAGCCACTTCGTTGAGCTATCGTTTGTAGCCAGGTCGCTTCTGAGATAGAAGTTAATAGTTCCGTGGGCTTTATCTGGTAAGATAAAAGACGTAGTTAAGTTCAATTTGCACGTCTTTTTGTAAGTGATGTGTTTACCTTTCCTATACTTTTCACTCCTTTCGTGTTTTTTCGTTGTGTTTGTTGTTGTAACGTTCTGACCCGGCCTCGACCGGACATTGAGCTTCATAGCTCATCGGATTCCTCCAATTCCAATAAACGTCCCCATTCCACTGCGCCGCACGGCCAACAGTCGCTCTCTGTCCTGTGCATCGTCTTCCATGTGCCCGTTCATGTTCCGACGCGGCTCGACGGGTAAACAACCACCGGGGGTTGCTGCCTGCGGTGCCGTGCCGCCACCAGAGGCGATCAGCGTCGAGTCGCGACGAGCGCCGCGGTCGGGGCCGCGCACGCGGCAACGAACGCGTCCAGATGCTCGGGCCGCATTGCGAACGGCACAAACAGCGGGGCCGACTCGGAGCGGACGCGTGGCTGCAGGAAGCAATGAGACGACGGCGCGAACCAACACGGAACCGGACGAGCGCGAACGAATCGATGCAAACGAGAGAGAGAGAGCGAGAGAGGACAAGCGAGACGGGAACAAAGGAGACACGGAGTCAACGTACAACGCGGACCAAAAATCCGTTCTTGACTCGAACCCGTAATGACAACCAAATCGAGACATTGCGTCAATTATGGGGGGAGGGGAGGGAAGGAAAATCGTGGCGTTTCTAATGCTAAAGACAAAGCTCCCCCGTGTAGCCTCCACAGAGCGTAGGGGCAAGTGCTGTAGGCGATCACCTCGCGAGGCCGGCTGCAGCACGCGCACGGGGTGGGGTGGCCAGCGTCACGGGCCGCCATTGTATCCCCATTGTTGTCACACCGCACCAGCCACTGATTTAAGGCGAAGTCGACCTAGGGAAGAGCCATAACCGGTTGTTGGTCGCGAGCGAGCGAGAATCGATCTCGGCTAGCCGGGTTCGCAGCGCTGTGCGCTAAACAAACCGCTACACTACCGCTCCCCCCCCCCCCGTGCACAGAGAGAGAGAGAGACGGACACAGAGACCCTTCGGAGGTGGAGCCCTCGGGGGGGGGGGGGGGGCAACACCGGCGACGATCGTCTGGACGGGTGCTGCTCCTAGGGGCCTCCGCCTAGATCGACTCAGCCTAAAAAAACGAGTGTCCTGGCGCGATGCGTAAACGCCGCGGCTCGGGGGACAAAGACGGCGACCCGGGCGTGGTGCTGCTCGCCACCCACAACCCGCGCGCGGCTCTTCATCGGTGCTGCTCCTCGCTAACAGCCCCAACAGTCTATTAAGGCTACACGGGGAGGGCGTAGGGTGTGGGGTGTGAGCGAGTTGCATTTATTTATTTTATTAGTTTTTAACGATCCACATCATCAACAAGACGCGGGCCGTCTCACCGCTGCTGCTGCCGCTGCCGCTACGACATCTCGCCCGCGCGTGCAGCCGCGCTCGGAGCGCATGGACTCCGCTACGGTGGAGTCGAGCAACAGGTAACGAACGGGAGCAGCAGCAGCAGCAGTCTGTGCTTCACACACACACACCCGTGTGGCGGGTGTGTGTGTGTGCTATCGCTACACCAACTCTGTGTGTAATAATATGAGCGAGCGTGGTAGAGTGCGATGTCGTGCGGATTGCGCCACTGCGCTTGTGATGAAACCGGCGAATTGCGTTCCACGGCCACGGCTAACATCAGTGGCAGGTGATGTCTGGAATCAGTTCTGATCCCCCGACCCTCTTCCACCCCACCCCCAATCCGCCTTCCACTGCTCTTCACCAACCCGCACTGACCGGCGTGGTGAAGTATGGTCAGACAACCCACCCCCTCTCCCCATAGCTGAGACGGCGTAAGGATGGTCTTCATCCAGCAGTGGATTGCCAAAAAGGCCGTAAATAAAACTAATGTTACTAAATGCCCTTTAGATTGCGTTTGCATGCCGTGCATATATGGACCGTGTTCAGTATAGACTGTCGACTCTTCTAAGTTTGAACGTCCAGTATACAGCAGGCATGTCGTCTGCACGGACTGCTTTGGGTACATGGACGATGTGCAGCAGTATACCGTGTGTGCTGCGTCGACCTGTCTCGTCGACGACCACGCGTGTCTCGTCAATGTGAACACGGCGGTGTTGACAGAATTTGTGCGGATGTAGAGTAGGCGAAGCACGTGTTCACCGCGTGTGCAATGTGTGAAACACTCGTGCTCATTGTAAGCACCGTGCGCGTGCGTGTGTGCGTGCGTGTGTGTATGGGAGCGGTAGTGTAGCGGTTAGCGCGCTGCGCTATGAACCTGGCGACCCGGGTTCGATTCCCGCTCACGGCCAACACCAGTGACGATTATCTGAACCGGTCATGGGCCTCCCCTAGGTCGACTCAGCCTCAAATGAGTACCTGGTGAGGTGTGTAAACATCGCCACTGGGGCGACAAAGGCGGTCGGGCGTGGTGCTGGTCACCCACCCCCTCGTGTACCGTTCCGGCCTTCATAGGTGCTCGCTAACAGCACTTGCCCCTACAGTCTGTTAAGTCTATATGGGGGATCTTTGTCTTTGTTACGCACATGATGGACGTCACGTGAAGCGTGGTGTTTAAGTTAATTATGCAGACCAAGGTTCATCACATCGGCGTGGGCTATATGTTATCGTGTAAAACTAGTTATTAGTTTATGATTACGCAACGTATGTAACGTTCAATAATAACCGCGTGTATGCGTATATTCGTTATGTATATTCACGTACGGTCCGCTTATCTATGATGAGGGTTCTCCCCCGCTCCTTGTGGACACCGAGGGTCATTTAAACCATACTTCACCACAGTGGCCAGTAGAGGCTGTGGGGAATCGCTGGATCCGCATTGCACAAGGCTCCAACTCCAGCGGCACTGACGCACTCCGACCGATTTGGCCATAGGCAACGTTCAATGTATCCCACGGCGTAATAGCACGCGTAAAAGTGAAGCGTTCCGCGCATAATGCACGTTCACTCGACACGTGACAGTCATTGTGCAATTGAGACACGTGTGTTTGCTACGCACCCCTCCACACTTACACGTAATGTTCTCTCCGCCGAGCCGCTGTGTACGTGCGTGTTCACGACACGAGATCGTTGCTCATCATGAAGGCTCTGCACGGCTCTGGCACGGGTTGTCCGGTTTCTTCCGACAAACGAACAGCGCACGAATGGTATTTTGCCAACTATCAAAGTGGCAGGACGCGCCTGTGAATGAAATCATAAAACCGTCCCGAGACTCGGCGAGTCTTGCCTGGGTAAACAGCAGAGAGTGGCGGTTATTAACTCACAATTTGAATACGAAACGAATGGTCAATGTTGTGGGTTTACTCCTCAACACGCCGTAGTAACCAATTGCCATGTTGTGTTTACGTGGCAAACCTTACTGATTGGCCGTGTCGGGTGGTGGCGGGTTTAACGACACATTTATACGAACGCGATCTAACCCACGAAAAAAACAATCGCCTCTATGATGGATTTGAACACGCTGCGCCGTTCGCGAGCACCCTCGATCGGCCGCGTGCGTCGCCGTACGCGTGCGTTCATCAGCGCCGGGAGAAGGGACTCCACGCGCGACTGTGCACGACGGGGCAGGCGAACACCGCGGGCCACCATCGCGACGCGCTCCTCCGATAATCCCGTGCGGTCAAATCGAGAGAGTGGCGCGAGGCGCGCGCCTGACGGATTCGAATGGGAAGATGCGTAAAAGTGCGCGGGCGTTGGAGCGCGAAGGAAACCGAGAGAGAGAGAGAGCGGGGAAGAGAGGGGAGAGAGGGGGGGACGGCTCCTACACGTGATGGACACGCATGTTATATGACACGCACGCTCGGAGCAAGCAGCAGGCTCATCCCCGGCAGCGTCACCATCATTCCAGCCGTCACGGCAGCCGCATGCCTTCGAGATCCTGGAAAAGGTTGTACTGTACTGCGCGCGCGCGTGTGTGTGTGTTTGTGTAAGGTACGCGTCTATGGGGAGCGGTGGCGTAGTGTTAACGCACTGCGCTACGAAGCCGGCGTCTCCAGTATGTATCATTCCTGGTCACGGCTATAATATCATTGGCGAGTGGTATCTGAACCGCTCCCGAGTCTCCACTGTATCGACCCGGCTTGACTATCGAGTACTTGGTGCGGTGTGTAAACATGAGCACAGGGAGAGACAAAGGCGGCCGCGCGCGGTACTGGTAACACACAATCCCCTCGTGTGTCGTAGGCTTTCGCTAACAGCACTTGTCTCAGCAGCCTGCTACACGAGGAATCTGTATCTTTGTACGCATGTGTGTTTGTTACACAGCAATTTTTTTTTACGCAGGGAGGGACAATTTTGCTGCGGTGGTTCGGTGGTGCTGAGCCTTAACATTATTGATGTGGTTACAACGACGATGATGATCATTTAATGAACGTGCGTGCGGGAGTGCATGGCTTTCGACAGCAAGTAGACTTAAGAGACAGATCTGTCCCACTCCAGGATTGCAATGCCGCTCGTTGTATCTCGCTATGCAATCTCACAGGGCGTGAGCCCGAGCAGAGAAAACTGCGATTTAGTATTCCGTGTGTTGGCCCTGCTCGTCTGCTCCTACTGGAGGCGACTGCCCCGCACATTAGCTCGATGCGTGTGCGTACAACACATCATTTACAAAGCGACGACGGTGCGGCGTTAATGACGATGGCAGTGATGTCGATGTGCGTTGGATTTCTGAGTCGACACCTCGGGCACAGCTAAGAGAGACACCCACATTTTGACGAGACAAAAAAATCGTGGTTTTCCGAGTCCGCGTTTTCCTCCATTCAACAGGGTGACATGAATGCTGATTGTGCTGACAATGGACCCTTTGAATACACTAAAACTAAACTATATATTTTATTTTACAAGGAAAGGTTCGCTGAGCTGTATAAGCTCTTTTTCAAGAAGCGATCTGGTCACAAATGATAGCGCAACGAAGTGGCATATCACGTGGACGTTTTATAGCAGCCACATATTCTAAACGCACGGTGTCTTAAATGTGGAGGAAAGACCCGAATAAAAATCCACACAACCACGGGGAGAGAGACATGCAAACGCCAAATATATAGGTGTCAGGTTTGGGATCGAACCCACGACCTCCTGCATACCAGGCGAGGTAGTTAACATCTCGCCACAGTAGCACACGAACTGTAGATTCAGTATCGAGTCAGTAGCCAGCAGTTGCACACATTAAATACAATTGTAGTGGAGTAGAACTCATCCGTGACGAAATGTGTTGGGGGAGGAGAGGGGGGAAAACTTCGTGTCCGCTTGTAATTGTGATTAACTTCTACACGCATGCTTTACCTGGCGTGGTGAAATGTTAACTCCCTCGCCTGGTATACAGGAGGTCGTGGGTTCGATCCAGACCCTTGACGCCTGCTGCTGTATATTTCAAGTATGCATGTCTCCCGTGGTCGCGTGGATATTTCTCCGGGTCCTCCAGATTTTCCCTCCACATTTAGAAACATGCGTTGAGAGTATTCGGCTGCTGTGAATTTTACACGTGATAAGCTACTTCGTTGAGCTATCATTTGTGGACAGGCCGCTTCTAAAATAAATATATATATATATATCTCAGTGAGCCTTGCCTGGTAACATTTAAAGTTATGAGTTTACTCACCACACCTGCGCATACTCTTGAGCAAATGTGACTGATAGACAGCAGTGGTACAAAGATAGATAACTGTGGACTCGTTTCGTCCTTTATTAGGACTCATGAAGAACAGTCAGCTATGCTCACTGCTACCAAGTGAGTTTGAAACCTGCCAGTCCAGTCACATTTGCACGAATCTATTTTGATGGTGATCTAAGACAAGAGGGCCAAAATGCACTTCTACAGGAACACGTTGATGGGTTTTTTGAATGTGCACAGAGGCCGTGTGTTTTTTTTATGTCTCCACGTTTTTTATCGTCGTTGGGAAGGTATAATTTTGAAGCCGTACTATTGTTCCGTCAGAATGGGTTTTTCTCATCATTTACAGATTTGATTGATTGTGCAGAATCCTTGAGCGATTGCCCAGCTCTATGTACATGTACAGCCGTTTTAGTCAATCCACTGCTGGATGAGGGCTTCCACACGCCGTGCCGGTCGCGAAGAGTGATTTGACTGGATTTCACAACGCTGTTCAGTCGGGGTTGGTGAAGGCCAAAAGGTCATCGGGTCACGGATCGTTCAAACTGAAGTTTCGCGGATCTTTGGATCTTGAGGTGGTCACATCTTCAGATTGCTTGCTATTCACATCAATAACAGTTGATTTTTTCATGCAGCGTCCACCACCTCGTGCCAAAGTAGCCTATAACACCCTTGTGTACATGGCAGTCGCCCTTCCAAGCATTATCCAGACTCCATCCAGCGTTTACTGCAAGATCTAAACCATGTCCAGTGCTCGCTGAGCTGCATTGGCTTCCGGTTACCGAACAAATAATTCTAAGTTCGCACTCATTACACACAAAGTGCTTGCCACAAATGAACCTGCAACACCTTGCTGAAGCATAAACCATCACGCAAACTCCAGTCATCCTCGCAGTGGCTTTTGGCTAATCATAGAACAAAGGCGGTCACCGCATCGCACGCGTTCAGATGCGCTTCTGCGGCCGTCTGGAACGCTCTTCCTTCCGATATTAGGAAGCCACTGGAGCCATGCACTTATAAATCCAGACTGAAAACTCATTTCTTTACAACTGCTTTTGTGTTAAGTTTGTTGTCCTTCCCCCGCACCTCTGATTAGCATGGTTAGCTATGTAAGGAGCGAAAAAAGTTCAACATAAATACAGTACATAGCTTGTGACGAGATGGGATACATTCTGAGCGATCTACGCAGATATGCATTACTAGAATGCTGACATTGTGATAATTTACTTTATCAATGATGTATATTTTATGGTATAAGATGTTGAATGTATTATAAGTTAGATTATCCACTTGGGGTCAAGTCAGAATTCTCAGAAATGTGTACCTATATTTTAGTCTACAATTACACCTCATCCAGTAATCGCAGCACTATAGAGTATGCGACTTGTGAATTATAGTTGTGTAGAAAACGTAGTTTTGTTTCAATGCCTTTGTTTATAGTGTAACGCAGCGACAGCACTGGCATGCATTGCACTGCGGTGTCAAGCTGGCCACTCCGAGTTTGATTCCAGCCACAGCTAAGAGCAGCGGCGAGTGACATCCGAACCGGTCCTGGGGTCCCTCCCTCCCCCGCCTTCACCAACCGGCACTGACCAACGTGGTGCAGTAAGTCGGGTCAAATACCCCCCCCCCCCGCCACGATCCGAGGATCCGTAAAGCGTGCGTAGGCCCTCATCCAGAAGTGGATTGACAAAAATCTGTAAACGTAGTTTTTTTTAATGCATGTGTGCGCACGTGTATGCTAGTCGTACGTGTTTATAAAAGGCCCCGCTCCGTTTACGTATCTGTGTTGGTGCTGCATGCCGGCACTTGTGGCATCGTGCTCGAGTGTCACCGATGGTTGTCCGACGAATACACACTACGCTCCGTCACAGGAATGCGATATTTTCACCACTGCCCGCAAAGCTCTTAACGAGGCGAGCAAAGCCGCATGCTCATTGCAGGAGGCAACGACTTGTCGAGCACGCGAACCAACGAACAATAATTCATGATGGTTGAACTCCTGGTCATGGTTAAGCATCGAGTGGTGGCAATTGTCAGAAGAACCTCCCCTGCCCGCCCGCACCCCTCCAGAGGAGATTGTCAGTGGTCAAGTCGAGATGTGGCGAGGGGATGGAGGGTCTCACTCGCAGCTGGGTGGGGGGGGAGGCAGGGAAGTTGCAGATGCAGGAGATGTTACACAGATGGAAGTTTGAGGCTCTGCGTGAAGTTGGGATGTGGGAAAAGAGAGGTCGATGAGAAATATGAGCGTGAGATCCTCAAGAGGGCATTGACTACAGAGCAATCTCGGTGGAATTTTCCTTTTTTGCAAAAAACAAGATTGAACTGGGTCATGGTGGAGACCATGGCAGAAGATACTTCATTGCACTCTTTCCTATTAAATGTAGAATGGAAATCTGCAGTGATGTTGGGATCCAATGTAGGTTTTTTTTCTTCCTCCAGGATTTCAATAACAGCAGCAGTCTTGAGGGCTTGTGGAGCAGTTCCAGAAGAGTTTTGAGGCATAAGCTCCACGTACAGATTATTCGCAGGTGAAGTGATGCAGTCCATAGTCAATACAGCACTGGGGAGACGAAGTGGACACGTGATGCTGGTCACCCCAGCATCACGTGATCTATTAGTGCTGGCTCACACCTGATCCAGACGTTTGGAGGCAACGGGGTGGCTCAGAGATGCTCCTAAAATAAGAGCCATGAGACTCGGCAAGGCTTTCCCAGATAAATACACTCAATTGTTACATTTATATTGAAAGACGGAAAGATGAACACGAGGATTAGAGAACATAACGCAGGTCAATAGCATTCAAACAATTATGAAAAGTGGGCTTTGCGCCGAAACACATCGCAAGAAAGTACAATGAGTGTGAGCAGCAGCGAAAGAATGAAACACATCCGAGAGGACTTCTGAAGAGGCGATGAGACTCGTGAAAACAGCTCGTATGCAAGGTGCAAGGTGAATTATTACATTTTAGGATTGTGAAAGACGGTGCCGGATCGGAGAGACCTTCATCCACCAGTGGATTGACCGTGGCCAACGGTGTTCCAGTATCGCAACGGTGTCAATATGAATGTTGCCTATATTCTTACTTGATACAGCTATCGTGCTGTGACGGTTCCACCTGAAGACGGAAGCTTGTGTTGCCTCCGAAACGTCGTGATTTTTATTTTATTTTACTTTTAATAATTTAATTTTTTTACCTACGTGACTTTACCGAAAAAACCTAAGAATATGAATACTTGCAGTCACGAAAGCTTCAAATCTATAATTAATGGTGCCGTGTGTGTTCCTGTGCAGCTAAGCTGGGGCTCCAGCACAGATGCCTCGCCCTGTGAAGGGGCCCTCCCAGCCCGGCGGCGGGGAGGACAGCGCAGAAGCCGAGGAGACCGGGGGCGCAGAGGGGGCAGGGGCCGACAGGGACGCGTGCTGCTTCTGCTGGTGCTGCTGCTGCTCGTGCTCCTGGTGCGTGACCCCCCCTCCGCTTGGGGGGACCGAGCCCGACAGGGGCAGTGGGACACGCGGCAAGGGAGATATTCCTACAGCAGCTCTTCCCGGTAGAGGTGCAATGATGCACCGGATTCATCGATCGGTTGTGGTGATTGGGTTTTTTTGCACATTATATTGCAATTGTGCGCGACTTTTGCGGGAAAGGAACGTTTTAATTCGGGGCTCTGCATCCAGCGGTGCATTATTCCATGTGAGAGAATGTCGCGGAACATGACGTCACAGAACAACATGAGGTCACTGCAGAAGGCCTCTTTATCCACACTAAGGTCACAACTTTTATATGCACTGCAAAAAAGTGTCCATCACATGTCAATCAAACCAACAATTTTAAGTCAATCCTCGGGAGCAAGACTGAGATTATCAACTCAATACAACTTTAGAACCTCCGATTAGTACATGACTACATGCGGTGTGTGAAATACAAACATACATACAGAACCACGTATAATCATCGGTATCCATCGAGAGCAGTGGTTCTGAATCTGGGATGCCCGCACCCACTGGGGGTGTGCGAGATGCCCTGTCTGGGGGGTGCGAGACGTGGCCAGATTTTTTTCGGAGGTAAAATCATCGAAAGACATATTAAGCACGGGCACGTAAGCACAACTGCTGTGCTTCATGAAACCTGTGCTTATTAACAGTAGACATTTTTAACGATTGACAACCAAAGGGGTGCAAGGCTGCAGTAAAGGTTAAGAACCACTGGTCGAGTAACAGCCAGGATCTGGGTGGTGCCATCTCAGTGCCGACTCCTGAGCCTCCCGGACCCTATTACGACGTTAATATCGATTCTTCAGGCTCACATTTCAAGCATCAAATCTCAAGAGTAATGTAATGTCAACGTTACAAACGATGTGCAAATTAAATGCACAAAGGCGAAGGGAGTGAACAACAATGTACCAAACAAGACGGAATGAGAAACAATACAAATGAGATGGCAAAAGCAAAACTAAAAGAGATATAAACATTCTTGAATCACGGCCCTGATTATCAACAATTTATGTCATCCCTAAAAGCATAAATTATTACGCTCAGTATTTAGCCTGGGTTTTGGGGACCCCAAGGGAAGCGTAGGCATCAATATGGGTCCATAAAAAGGTCTAAGGGGGTCCAGAGGTGATTCGGAACGAGTAGCAAGGGGTCTGTAAAGACAGAAGAAAGAGCAAGGGGTCTGCGAAGACAGAAGGACGCATCAAAGTTGACGCAGTAAATACCACATCACAGTTACATATACTGGACAATCATATTCCGGCAGAGAAAGTTTAGGAAGCTGTGGTCTGCATTAGACAGTGTGCAGGTAAGGCACACGAGGATGAAACGTTAATATACTCTTTAACTCAACAAGTAAAAGTTTCTCTATTCGCGAAAATATAACAAAAAAACACAATATTCACCTTACCTATTGCATTTTTTTGCTTTGGCGTTTACAATTCTTGCAACGTGACCTCTGTTACGACACGGCAATCGTCCTCCTCAAACGTCGAATCGCAACCTCACAACGCAGCTTTACCTTTGACCAAAAAAAAATATTGCAACACTGAGCCGCGATTATATCACTTTGGGCACCGAGGCGGTGAGTGGCAGCGGGACGCTTGAGGAAAGGTCACGCGCGCGGCACCCCAGATTGGTGCGACATGGGCCCCCCCCCCCCCCCGAGCCGTTAAAACTCGACTAAAAATATCCCCGAGTCGATTCTCACGGGACTCATTTGTTACAGTTGTCAGGGAGACGCGACAGAATGTCACAGATAAGAGGCTCGCATTGTTATTGGCCGTTGCGACCGCATTACAGTGCGATGCGCGTACAGGAGATCGATACGGGAGACGGGGGGGGGGGGGGGGGGGTGGCGGTGGGGCTACTCTCGAACGCGAAGCTCAGTGCTGGAGAGACGACGGCGCTCGGTTTCAACGGTGGCTTCCTTGCGCCGAGGCGTTGCTCTTGACTTGTGCTTCAACTCCCGTGCGCCGAATGTAGTCTCGCGCCCCAGGGCGAAGAATCGCCGACGTCCTCTCGGAAGAACTCACACACGACGCGCACCGAGGACTGCACCGACTCGGAGGCCACGAGGTGTGGATTTTTTTCCGCCGTTTTCAAATTCACGCGGGGAAAAAGCTGACGGGCATAAACATTTTTCCCGGACGTAAAGATTGTTGTTGTTTTTTGTTCTTAGTGTAGTGAGCGACTTCTGAGACATGTCGTGTAGAAGGCTTCTTATTTTTTAAGAGCACACTGGGCGATACATTTATGTAACGCAGCTACACATAGCCGACCCGAACACACAACCCCATCGTCGGCGTCAAACTACGCAGCTGCCCGACCAGCGCAGTGACGGCGACGGTGAGAGCCTTGCAGGAGATCGGCCACGTGGCCGGACGACGAAGAGAGATGATGGCGAGCAGCGACGCAGCCAGGACCCGCAACAGCACCGAACCTTCTCTGGTTCGGCCCCCCTTATATACGCTCCAGCGTGGCCAAGCCCCGCCTCCGGCCATGCCCCCTTCTAGAACCCTCGAGCAGTTCCCGGAGCTGCTCAACTGACTCCGCCTTCCACCTTTACCCCAGATACGCCCTCCTCGTAATTAGGCATTACGTAATGTACCCATAACAACAATTACCCCTTCAGGCAGACAGGTGGCACCCTGTCATTACATCAGTATGGATCATCGAAGTATATACGGGGTGGGGGGGGGGGGTGAACAACGCATCGATTGTTAGGCTTGTGATATACATGCATCACATCGCTATTGTAAGAATCGGTATTGTTGTACGCGATGGGTTGACTTCACTCCGGCAGCCACTTGAGCTGCAACCATTCAGAGCAATGTTGAACACAGAATTGGTTCTTGAATGGACTCGGAAACCACGATTTCTGACAGTTACATCGTCGGAATGCGGGATGCGTCATTCACCTCACCCAAAACTCCTCTTTCGAGCATACCACAGCGCCAAATCCTGTCGTACGTCACAGACCAAGTTAAAGTGCCAGCATCAAAGTCTGTTTAAAATGAATGGCTCCAATATGGGTTTTTTTTATTTGGCATCAGGTTTTTATTTTTATTTAAATGTCTCGTTATATTCCGATCGTATTATAATTGTGCCATTGGCACTGTCATGACAGAAACATTTATCCGTTCCGACCTTGCCTAGAGCAATGCATCACGATGCAAGAGAATGATCCGGAGATGGTGATAAATCCCTCCAATGACCCCCTAATACACATTGGAAGTGCTGCAGCCTTGCACGCAACCTGCTGTAGAGATGTTTGTCTATATATATAAATACATGTTTATGGACTAAAAGTGAAACCTTACGTTTAAAAGAGAGGTTTTCTTTCGTGCAGTCGTTGGTAACCGCCAAGCTAAGACCGTCAACTTGCTACACTTTAAAACCTGGTTTAATCAAAGGTGGCAGAACCCAAATTAGAACCTAAGATCTCAGTGTTGCTGGATCAGTCATCAACTCCTGAGCTACCGAGCCACCCACTTTTAATAAATATACAATGTATAACAATCGTAAATGATGTGAAGAGCTGGGTAAAATTAAATGTCAGCCTCTATCCTGAAGTTGGGCTGCTCCAGATAAATACGGACAAAATAACTTAGAGGAATACAATTAAGAGAGCATAACATAATTTGAATACCGAGGACAATTATTATAAGTGGACCAGAGTCATAATGATGAAAGCCAACGAGCAGAACAGTGTATTTGTGGAGCTGAATTTAATTATGAAAAGCAGCCAATCAAACCAATGACCATACTCTTTGTTTCTTTCGGTAAAGTCACGTAGGTAGCTTGAAATCAAGATTAAACCAATGACTGTTTTGGTGAAAATATACATGTTTAAAAAAATAGCACAAATTTTTCTGCTACATGTTTTATATTTCTTCACGATATTCGTTTTCCTATTTTCATCATTTTAACACGTGGAAAACCAAGGCCCTAATTTTTGTACTTATCACGTACGTTAACGTTTAGAAAATTCTGAGAAAGGCTTGTAGCTTCACCACGATGTTTGGAGCTACCCGATCTTTCAGAAAGAAAATGCCAAATAAAACACATGTGGCCCATTTTGTCGGTTTCACTGATAGAAGAGGCCGAATGAGTTTGCAGCCATTAACCCGGCCTACGACCCCCCCCCCCTCCACGCAATCGCCACGCGCAGCGGGCGGGCCGGTGCGGACGAGGTGCTGGCGTGGGGTCGGTCGTTCGAGCGTCTCGTACGCAGCCCCACGGGCCGCGCGCACTTCCGCCACTTCCTGCGCGGCGAATTCAGCGAGGACAACCTGCTCTTCTGGCTTGCGTGCGAGGAGCTGCGAGTCGGCACAGACGAGGCCTCCCTACCCGAGCGCATGAGGACCATCTATGAGGAGTACATTTCCATCCTTTCGCCCAGGGAGGTGAGCGTCCGTCGCTCGGTGTGGCACCCCCCACCCCCCCACGCTCAACGTAATTCAGCGTCTCACACAGCAACAACCTTCTTCTGTGTTCCGTACGGTCGCGTAGCGTGGTTGGCATGGCCCCTTGTGCAGTGAATGAAACGGGGCTCCCCACTCTTCCATCACCGTGTATATTCACACATGGCGCTGGTACGTTTCACACGAGTGTCTTCAACGATGTATACCGAGGCGTCTTTGTATCACGCGAGTTCACATGTGTACACACACCCACGAATCACGACCACCCGCCGGCAGAACTTGACACTGCCGCCCCTACCAACTCCCAACATCTGCCACCGCCCTCGGAAAATGCCTACGTTGCCTACTACGCCTAAAGCCGGCACCCCCCCCACTTTCCACCAACCCCATTTTCATAACCCAGCATCTGGGGCTCTCCGGCCCGTGGGCCCTAGTATATTTGTACCACCTGCACACTCGATAGCTTACACCACTTGTCTCAATTTGTCCGATATCTCTAACCCCGGGTACAGGGGAGCAGGCGGATGATTTACGCCACCGTGTGCGCAGGTAAGCCTCGACTCGCGCGCCCGCGAGGCCATCAACGAGGGGATGGAGGAGCCGGACTTGGGCACGTTCGACGAGGCGCAGCAGCAGATCTACATGCTCATGCAGAGGGACTCGTATCCGCGCTTCCTCGCCTCCGAGCACTACCGCTCGCTGCTCCAGGGCGCCCCCGACAAGAGCACGGCAGCCGTCTCGCCGTGCGTGGACACCAGCCCCACGGTGGTCAAGCCGTGAATGGGACTCTCTTAAAATCCCTTTTCTGCAGGGACTCGCGCCCCATAAACCCGAGGCGACGCTATCACGGGATTTGACTGTGCACTCTCAAGGACAGCAATCATATGGTGGCTCACGCCGTGGCCGATTGGGTCATCACGACTGGTGCACGCCTGCAAGGATTGTTAAGTTATATTCAGGTATATAATAGTAAAAGAGGACCGTGACCAATAAGTGGCAACCGAGAAGCCATACAAATCGTGCATTAGCTCATATACGTCACCTCTAAATATATTAATACATATACGTACCCTACTACTCCCGTTACATAGTACTGTGCTTGCATGTTGACCTTTAAACACAAGGATGGCGTAGGGACAAAATACATGTCTCCGCATCATGATATTTAAACAAATCATACGGGATTTAAAAACAATTGCTGTTGTTAGATATTGGCCCACAGGGCCCAAAGGTGAATAATTATTTTTATGAGGAGAGATCAACTTTTGTCTGTCCATGTTACCCATGATTCCCTGCAGTAGTATATGATTTTTTACATGTAAATTATGTATTTGCTTTGACATAGTGTATACATACACAATTAAACTTTTTCATATTTAATATGGTCACTCTTATCCATGCCATATGGGTGGTGTTCCTTAATTTCTCCTGTCTGCACTGTGTATCCAGCATTATATTTTTATAACAATAATCAACCACATTGGCGCATCTCAATTCAGTCTAAGTGGTTGCTCATGAAATGGTCATGGGGAAAAAGTAGAAAATAAATATTTAAATAACTCCTCTTGAAACCGCTGTGCCACTCTAAGCTCCCTCCCGACTCTACCTCTCGCTTCAAAATTCTGACCCCCCCCCCCCATACTTGACCCAAGCCCATTAACTCCCCTTCCCCCACACCCGATGTCTCTCTGCACACATCCACGCAATGTGCCAACTGTCAAAAACTCCAAAGTAGTCTGCAATCACTTCCATGAAGCCAAGAGGCAAAAGCTGGCTTGAAGTGGCCCCTACCACTCTTAATAAGCCTCCGCTCTGCACCATCTCAGAGAATGCTTCACAAGCTCTGGTGGGAATTTTTTGTTAATAATATAATCACTGTTCTCATGCCTGTAGGAGGTCAAAAAAGCTTTTATACGTTTGCGTGCCTGACCGACATCTTGTATGTTAAGCAGTAGCTTAGGCACACTGTACCCAATACTGCGACTTAGAACATCGGCAATACATTAACAAACACCTTGACTGTACATGACTGAGTGTACTTGTGGTAAGTACTTTCGTTCCAAGAACAATCACATATCAGTGAGGTGGTGTTGTCGTGGCCAGAGCTAATGTGGAAAAGGTGAAAAACGCTGCGCTATTTATAAACTTGAGGATATAGATCATATTGCCTCATCGTATTTTATGTGGCTTGTCGATACGTGGTGGTGGTACTGTTAGCGTTGCATCATCAATACGTGCAAACACTCAAGTCATTTATAAATATATATTCACACACCGAAACCACAAATCCCTGCCAAGCTCCTGTTCCAAGGCTTAATTATGTTTGGTGACGAGTGACGTGTGTACACAGCTGCATTAACACTAAGTGCACACAAACCTAATGGCGTTGTACAGGGTACAACCAATCCATGTAATGTGTACTTAAGAAAGAGTACAAATAGTTGACAAACATGGCAAAAAATTCCACCCTTTGCCCAGTGCTAGGCACTGGGGTAAATGGTAGGCAAATGCCACGTGACACCAAGGCCAATTAAATAATGGCACACAACAATATACTCTCTAGGCCAATTAGGCATAAATATTGGAGTGTTGGTTTGACATTGTCTACCTTTTCCTACCGCTCAGTGTGCCTCAGCAGTTCTCCCGCTATATTTTATCACCCCAAGACGATTTGCTTGTGTTGCGATCGAAACGTCGTGAATTTTTATGATTTTTCTATCTACGTGACTTTACCGAAAGACCCAAAGAGTATATTTCTTGTGCGATGCCTCAAGATGCCTTTTTAACCTTCAGGATTAAATGCGATTAAAAAACTTAAATGTCACTGTATGTAAATAGGCATACCATTTGCAGGATTTATATAAAAAATAATTTTAATTCCATAGGGAGGCATGAGTTAACTATTTAGCTTCCAATTATTGTTGATAGATGTGCAGTTGCCATATGCTTATAGGCAGAGCCATCCCTAGGCTACGGCGAATAGGGGCACTACCCCGGGCCCTGCACTTTGGGGGGCCCCATGCTTTGGCACGAACATTAACGTGAAAAATGGAGGTTGCATCCATACGCAGTGGTTTGCACTGATAAAAGGAAACCACACTGATAAAGAGTCAATCTTCCAAAAGGCAAATGTTTAGGAAAGATACACAGAAACTCTAAAATCTGACATCCCATGAACAAATGCCTTTGCTTAAGAATGTTGAACATTTATTAAGCATTCATGACGATATATTTTCCTCTATAGACTCCTCCTTTACGTACCCATTTTAAGCCTTTGCTTAAAAATATGCTGACCTACTTAAATTTTCCAAGGCAAAAAATGAATGTTTATACATCTTACAAATAGCATCACTGAAATAGGTAGTTGGTAATGTGTTCATTGGAAATGAGTTTTCCATACAAAAAAATTTACAAAAAAATGCACAAAAAAATACGGCACTACTTCTGAATTGTAATGAAATGTTTATAAAAACTACTAAGGTAACAATATACATTGAAATATATTTTTTCAAGACAAAAACCAAACCAGTAGGAACTGTTAACAGTTAAAAGCTTTATTTCAGGTACTAAACAAAAAAATGCTAGTCACATTACTGTATTTAAAAACCAATATCAGTTGTGTTTTTTAACAGCTCATTACATATAAAAAATTAAACCATGATAACTAAGCCTTGGCTTTTAGACGTGTGATACAGGATGGATTTCTCCAGTGCATCATCAACATGTTGGATCGTTGGAAAATGCCAATTTTGTTGCTCAAATTTCCGTTGGCAGTGATTTTTCTCCTCCCACGTGGCCATCGGGAATTAGCAGAACTGAAAACAAAAGCACAGTGTTTGCACCATCAGATATATGTGTGAAAACTGAAGCATTTCCACCAATACTTGTGCAGTGACTGCGAGATGGGCGTTGAAAATTGGCAAGGGTTTGGTCTGGAAGAAGACGGCCATGCCATCTATTGCAGATATGAATGCGACTCCCCCTTACCTTCCATCGGTTTCCACACTCATTGCAGAGGACGAAAGTGGTCATAGGCTCATCAGCACTTCGCGTTTGAACCTGGAGAGACGTAGGTAAAATGAGTGAGATATACATGTCACACATTTAAACATGACGTGATCGGTCAAAGATTACGATGATGGTGGCACTTCAAAGTGATTACTGCTGCTGACAACATAGTAATGATTACGTAAACAAACTCCAAATACAATTTTCATAGGGGATTCAACAGTACATCGAAATGTGTGCATGGACAAAACACAACAGGTAAATCGGGGTAAATATTAGCTTGGGCTGTTATGCATGCTATCATGCAACATTGCTTTATTAGTTTTATAAAACAAATATATTTCTTTACCCTTGTCCATTAAAAAGATATTATCGGAATAATGGTATAAATAAGCTCGGTGGTAAATTTTTGGAGTGATCAGTGTAGGGGTTTTGCAATTGTTGTGAAAACATGTGAAGTGTCCTGAAATAGCAATATGCAGCCAATCTGTTCCCTTTATAAGAACATGAGCATCCATATTTGTGCCTTAAAACATTTGGGACCACTTGTACCAGCTCCTCCCACAGATGACCACCTGTGACCCACACGAGGTTGAAACAAGATGTACAATCTAAGCTACGTGAAATGACATTTGGCAAATACAGTAATACCCCGATAGTCGCCCTCCTGTTTTACGTACTTTCGCTATAACGTACTAAACTTATCAATATCCAATCCCGTTTTAAGCACTGTGGTACCTCGCCATAACGTACTCAAGATTTATGAACTTTACCACGAAGATCCACATTCATGCGCTGGATGGTGCCCAAGCGTTGGCGTTCCTGACTACCGTAATCTCTCACGTATACATATTCATATGTTTTACCCCACATACCGTATTTATGGCGATTGTTTATACAAGCGTAAACATTTTTTACGTGATAAACCACACGTGATATTTCTAGTAAAATAGACAAGGTGATATATCTGAATATATCTATAATATATACCGACTTTTCAGAACGATGGTGGTACAGTATAAATGCGCAATGGGTTACTGAGCATCCTGTTAAGGTTCTGTACCACGTTACTCTCCGCCATCCTATCTCTTTGTTTCGATTAAACTCCTTTCGATTTACGTTCTGGCTTTCAGGAATGCATCCTTGGTATAAACCGGGATATGCAATAATAGCACTCCCCCTACAGTCCAAACATTATTTAAAACCGATCAAATTAAATCCCACAATCAAATTAGTTTAACAGGTGAATGCTGAGTGATAAAAATACAGAATACGTTCTTTACCCAGGAAAACCTGAGTCACAAGAATACTTCCCAGAGGGTCCCCCCTTGTTTGGGATGTTTGGTCAACTTGTAGCACAAAACAGTTTTGCTCATGGTGAAGCCAAACCAAGAGATACCAGACACCACACAAATAGCCTTCCACAACCTACTTGCTAGAGTGCACCTTGGGAGCTCTGCATGTGGGTGTCTCATATGACCTAAACACAATCCACGGACCTCACCTGCTTCACTACCACACCAAGCGTCATCCAGAGACAACTGTTATCTCGATTAGTCTGTTACGTGTGTGTTAATCTTGCAGTTCATTCTGAGCAGTTGATGCTCCACAGAGCTGGAGCGGTGGGAGTCCTCCTGGGACACTCGCCTGCGTGTAGGTGGTGTTCTTCTTCTTGCATTTGCCACAGCTGAACAGGTCGGACACGGTGCCGCCGGTCTTGGCCATCTGGTGCTCACGGATAGCCTCCTTCGTCATTGCCTTCCTGATCTCCTTGAGCTCGTCGCTCGCCATCTCCTGCAACAGCGGAGGAAAAGCAGTTTGACGTAGGCGCCAAGACTCCGCGCAGAGCATGGTTGGGTACCAGTCAAAACGACAGTTTACATTTGCCCTACAAACTGTGTAATTTACTTATATGCGAAGTACCGCAGACCGGGCAGTATTGTATGGGCCGCCACAGTGGCGAGATGCCTGGTATACAGGAGCTTGTGGGTTCGATCCCCACCCTGACGCCTGTATATTTGGAGTTTACATATTCTCTTCCCGTTGTCACGTGGAGTTTTCTCCAGGCCCTCCGGTTTTTCCTTCCACATTTAGAAATATGCGTTCGAATATTTGGCTGCTATAACTTTCCACATAAGCCACTTTTCTGAGCTATCATTTGTGGCCAGGTCACTTCTGAAAAACAGCTCTATATCTAAGCCTTACCTGGTAAAATAAACATCTAAAAAAAGATATCGGTGTTCACGTGTTTCTTCACTACATACAACAGGCACTATTTTATTTTACACCAATGCTTTCAATTACCCAATTTCACTGCGAATGTTGATTCTAATAACAAAATACTGATCTCACATTACTGTTATTCCACCAGTTGAATAGATCGGGCTTACACATGTGGAATAGTTTACATTTTAATTATTAAGCATTGCTTCATTATATTTCTGAAAGTCGTTTTAACATTCTAGACACTAAACGAAATGCATTGACATGGTAAATCCATATCATATTTCCTGACGAGCTGCATTAGGTTACATTTTAGGAACACCTGGATGTGACTCCTATTCACCATTCATTGCCTATGCCTCAATTTTGCACCCACTGTGGAGTTGAGGGGGATGGGAAAGACAAGTCTTGCTGATCTGGCTTTTTAGCTCTGGTTGGAGCAAGCAACAATGGGTTGAATGGCCTTGTCATTCGATAACATTCTGTGTTTGTGTGTTTACAAAAACTCTTCCCCGTCATCTCCATCGGTCTTTTGCACTAATACACTACTACACTGCTGACACAACCTCAGTATAGAATCAGTTCATCTCAACAAAGAATGTAATAGCTCTCCACCAACCACACCCAGGGCTTTCAACAAAAATTCTGGAAATGTATTTCACATTTAGTATCTAAAAATTCTACTTTTCCATTCAAGCTTAAAATGAGGACCAAGAGCCACAGCGCCCTCTGGTGGCTGCGAGGAGCTGCACCTCTGCTGTCATCCTGGCAATTTTTTCCGGCGTGATGTTGCCACAGAGGACGTTCTTGCGGAGCTCGGGGTTTTTGACATCCTTGAGGTTGCTGATTCGGCTCCTGACACGATTTTTGTACTTCATGTCTGTGTTCTTCATCTCTTGGAAGATGAGTGCATGGTGTCAAAGAATTTACCTGGGCTGTTCAGTCACAAACGTCCCGTGTAAACGAAAAATCTCAATATATTGCAAACATTAATGGTAGTTAATTACATATCCAATAGGTCTTAGTGTAATGCTTCGGATGGAATTAAAGTTAATCAAGTGTGTGATTAAGTGCGTAACTTGAAATACAAAGGATATATTCTTCTATTTGTGCTGACACTTCTTCACAATCTGTTCCAAAAATGTTATAGTCATCTAGAAAAAGGCAAGAAAACAAGTCAGTATCTGTAAGAGAAACTCGTTGCCTTATGATCAAAAACAAAACAAAAAGCTGACGTGATTCTTGTGATTGGCAGTGAATGAGATTCCATCTTCCGTAGTAGTGACAAAAGATTAGTCAGAATTACAATGTGTGATAAGCTCGGCATGGACTGAGAAATGCACCAAAATATTGTCACGATGAAAAGTGATAGCAATTATAAACACTACACAAACACATTCTACAACAGCTGGATAAACACAATTCTTACAGGCTAGAGGATACGAACGGAGTTGTTGCTGGAACAAATAAGAACACGAGGCAGTGTGCCGCCACGATGGTTGGGGTTAACATACGATCAGGTCCCCCTTGCCCATAATCTTTGGAGTAATCGGCAAGTACACTCGCATAGACAATCCATGCACTCCCATGCCCCTGTTTACCATTGGTCTTGAGAGCAGCTGAGATCAACTCGCGACACTTCATGCGCACGGAGTCGCCCGTGATAGGTGCGCGTGGGAAGCACGTAGCGACAGGCGTGCCGGGTGACTTCCCGGACTCAGACTTGCACACTCCACTGCCGGAACTCAACGTGAAATGGTACATTACTTACAGTTCAACATTGCATTTAAAAACACTCGCAAGAGTCTGCGCGGTGGTGTATTACCACCACGACAAAGGGTGTTCATTTCACTACAGATCCAATAATTCACTTCATAGCTGGAGATATTTAAAGTGCATACCATATCAATTTGTCTTGACAAATATGGTAATAGGACTAATGTTATCATGGATACTACCTTTTTCCAAAGAACCACTTTTCATTAGAAAGATAATTGTCAAATTTTAGTCAATTATTGGTGCAGATAGACTCTAACAGTGTATATGAAAACATCATATGCTGAACTGCTCTAAACATTTATTTTTTTAATCTTGATTTGAAGCTTTCGTGACTGCAATAATCCATACTCTTTGTTTCTTTCAGTAAAGTCACGTAGGGAGAAAATAACTTTTTTTTTATACCTACGTTGTGTGTCACAATCAATTCAGTGACTAAAATCAACTAAATTTCAGATGCATGCAATCGAATCATGTGCCAAAGAATCGGTTTTAATATGCTAATTATTTGGTTGTTATCTTCAGTGATGTTCTATCCACTCCGGTACAAAGGGCATCCTCCAGTCATCATCACTCTCCAGTCCTGCGAAGCCACAATCCATCTCTAATCTCATTACTCCATCTCAGTGCTGGACATTCTCTCTGGCACGATAATGTCCCTGGCTGCAAGTCCCTTTTCATTAGCCATCATCTTCATGTATCCTGCCCAATTTCACTTAACTTTTCTATGATGTATCGGATTTGCATTTACCTGATCCACGTGTTACTCTGTTTTTTTAAAGGGGACACCACTCATTTAAAAAATGAAACCCATTAACGTATTATCACAGGTATACAAATTGTGAACGAATGTTAAACAAAAAGATTGTCAAGGCAAACCAACCACAAGCAAAGATGGATTGATAATTTACTTAATTACCATCAACCATAATCATCATATGGATCAGATTCTAGATAAGACAAATTTACTTCAAACACCATTTGCTTATATTTTGAAGACTAAAAAAGACACATGATTCAGTGGACATTGATGCAAAGCACTCGCAAACCAAAACCTTAGAAATGTTCTTGAATAAAATTGTGATCCCCAATCAAGACAATTAATCAATCGTTGGGGGGAAATTGTTAAATGTCTACTAGTTTATTCCCCTCCCCCCTTCGCTGGTAAATCTATGTTTGCGTAACAGGGCAGCGATTCATTTTGTTAACATTTTTTATAACAAAAAAAATGTATGTTTACTCTCACAAGGGGATAAAGTCATTCTGCCAGCTCAGCACTCTGACCTCTAACCTCTGGGCCACCCTGCCACCTCACAATAATCAATTGTTCGACATTGATGTAAATTAAGTGGCATCTAATGGCTGGAGGTGTCAATTGTATACAACACATATTAATCTCAACTATTGATTCTAACGTGCGTTTCGATGCATGTCTCGTGAGCTTAATAATTAATATCAATCGATGTACAGACGCATCATTACACCCATGATTACTACCTTTCAGACAGGTTGTTTAAGTAGGTATTTCTCTTAAGGATAAAACTAATGATAAATTAAAATCTATTTTTACTCACACTATTGCCATTGAACCATGTGGGTAACAATCAATAATTTAAGAATTACGAATATGATGTGAATATACACGTAGGCTAACGATACATAGCAAAGGTGACAGAACATGAGACTGCAACTAAAAGTGGCCGAGCCATGCAAATTCACTGAATCATCGGGTGAGGTGGTGAATTGTTACATCCCCAATGCTGACAATGACGTTATCGTGTTGCTCGCTCACCTCTCCTCTTCACCATCCATTGAGTCTTGGGAGGACGGTGGAGGTGTTGTACTGAGGCCTTTGTCCTTTTCACCTGACTTGGCTCCATCTGCACCATCTGAAGTAAAAAAAAAAAACACGCTTTAGCTTTACAGTTTTTAAAAGAGCAGTACCACATTCCTGCTACAATTTCCCAAACCGATTGTGACATCCCTCCCATCAACATTCAATATCTCTCATGTGCTTTCAAACTCATAGGCATCCCTATTGCAATAGTTACATCTTCCCAAGTTATGCATTGGGCAGGTGATATTGTACATTAAACGATCACCATGAATGTAAATGCTTCATTGAAACAGAACTACATGGCACTGTCAATAAGGGACACCTGTTGCAGAACTAGCACTGGGTATCCAAATGAACTGCTATGACGTTGTTAATAATAACACTGATACGTCTACCACATGGTCAACTAAACACATTCCTGCGGAGGGAGCTGGTAGGAACGTTGGGTTGCTCGGTCAATGGCCAGGGTCAACGGCGGCGTGGTGTATTCCGCAAATATGCCCGACTGTGAGGGTGGGCACAAGCTGGCGTGAGTAGGTTAAACGTTGAGTTTAATAAGGGCACCATGGGGTGACCAGCCCCTCCCCACCTAGCCCCACCCCTCCACCCCCCACCCAGCCCCACCCAGCCCCTCCCCTCCTCACCCAGCCCCTCCCCACTCTCCCCTCTCCACCCAGCCCCACCCATCCCATTTTTAGATGCACGACGGACGGACACAATAATCCCCTGTGGGCTGGTGGAACCAGGTGGTTCCTACCAGTAATAGGATCCTTAAAATGTATATCCTTTATTTTAACCAGAGAAGACTACTGCAATCCATATTTTACAACACCTAATTAAACTGTACTGATGAAAATAGAAATTTTTACCGCTTGTATGTACGCATGTTGAACTTTTTTCGCACCATACGTAGCCAACCATGATAACACGATTTTGTCCCTGGGTAGTTAGTGTTATTTTTTAATTGCTTATGCCTATGAAGTATAGAAAATGGCTATTATTCCTCACAAATCTTGACTTAAAGCTTTCGTGACTGTAGGAATTCATATTATTTGGGTCTTTTGGTAAAGTCACGGTAGATAGAAAAAAATATAATAAAAATGTATCGAACAAACCAAGCGGTTTTCCTTAAAACCCTCTGCTGCCAGACAACCCAGATTGTCTGGCCTACCAAAAATCCACAAAGAAGGTACACCGCTTCGTCCTATCGTCTCCACCATTGACTCACCCACCGACAAACTAGCCCGATTTATGTCTGAGACCTTACAACCATTCACTGGTAAGACCACCACAGCTGTACTTTACTCAGCTCACTTGGTATCGTTAATTAAGGACATCTCACTATCTCCCGGTGATTTGCTCGTTAGTTTCGATGTAGTAACTTTGTTTACCAAAGTTCCTGTGCCTGACACAATTGCAATCATTGAAGATTTGGTCCAACAAGGACTGAATGCTGATGTACCAGCCCTGGTTAGACACTGCCTCACCAACACTTACTTCACCTGGAATGGAACATTCGACAAACAAGTTGAAGGTACTCCAATAGGTTCTCCCTTATCTCCAGTTGTAGCCAATGTTTTAATGGAAAAATTTGAGACAGATGCCATCGAGGCATCCACTCTACGTCCGTCCTTGTGGAAGAGATACGTAGATGACGTGTTCTTCATCTGGCCACATGGCCTACCAGCGCTGGGCCAATTCTTCAACCGCATCAATTCCATACACCCAGCCATCAAATTCACCATGGAGGTGGAAAAGGATGGCAAGTTACCATTCTTGGATGTTTAATTCGAAAGAGACCAGATGGCTCAATGGGACACTGTCTATAGGAAGTCACCCGTATGGATGCCTACCTAAAACCTGACTCCCACCACCATCCATCCCAGAATAATTCCCTCATCAAAACTCTACACCATAGATCTTGATGTATTTCCGACCATCACCACCTAGCCAGTGAACTGGAGCACGTACACCAAGCCCTCAAGATGAATGGATATTCAGACTACATAATCCGTAAAGCTATCACCCCAACCGTTGGGAAAGAACCATCTGAGGACCCAATCAAAACCATCACCTTGCCATACATAGCAGGGGTCACCAAAAAGATTTCCAAAATAATGAGCAAACACAAGACCCAGGTTCAATTCAACACGGTACATAAAATTCGTGATCTGATCCCATCTGTGAGGGATGTGATTCCTGACATGCAATACCCCGGCGTCTACAAACTAAGCTGTGTCTGCGGCAGTAGTTACATTGGGGAAACTAAGTGACATGTCTCGGACAGTGTTCGTGAACACAAGGCAGATCTGAACCACGGTAGGACCAATACCTCGGCCGTGGCTGATCATTGTTTTAACGCGGTGGGCTCACACGAAATTGATTTCTCCAAGACGAAGGTACTCTGCAAACCCACTGGCTATCAACAAAGATTCATTCATGAAGCCATCCACATATATAGACAGACACAATTTCAACCGAGAAGATGGATACAAACTGAGCAATCATTGGAAGGATGTTATTAACTAGTTTAAGTCATAACTGGCTGTGATGTTTCCATCCTACCTTCCGATGTTAGCAGTTATTTTCGACTCTCTGATTTTGCATGAACAGATTCACACTAACGCAGCCACCGTCGCTCGTGTCCTCGATGTGGCGGCGGCGCTGCGATCTTACATTGACATGCTAATCTCTCACAATACAATGGCTACCTCGGTGCCCTGGTCGTGGAGGTAGCTCTCCGATCTTACATTGACATGCACATTTCTCGCTTTAACATCACTAGCCCCACCCACTTCGTTTATGACCCTTGGGCTACACACATTACAAACCTTTAAACAGCCTGCCTCAGCAGCTTTCCCCCTTGTTTTTCTCCTGATGACGATTGCTCGTGTTGCAATCGAAACGTCGTGATGTTTTTTTTATTCACTTAATTTTTATTTATTTTATTATTTTATAGCTATTATTTTTATCTATCTACGTGGCTTTACCGAAAGACCCAAAGAATATGAATTCCCCACAAACTTTGTTTTGTGACCAGGACCTTAAGGGAAGGAATGACACAAATGCACACGTTTTCTCATTAAAAATAGGTAAATTTCAAAATATCACTGTCCTGGTCACAAAAGCAAAGTTTGTGGGGAATAACAGCCATTTTGAGGCATAAGCAATTCAGAAATAACACTTACTACCCAGGGACAAAAAAATGTTGTTACACAGTGTAATCAGTGGTGTGGGGGAAGGTCAACAAACTAAACACAAAAAGCAGTTCACTTGTTGGTATTTTAAAGTTGAGAATTTGGATTTTTTCAAGACACAGTGACTCAACGAAAAGATATCACAAGATCTGTAACACATTTTTTTATCAGACTGGATGAATTACCAGCAGAAATTAACAGGAAGCTGCACCAATGGAATAATGAACGTCTCAGCAATACTGGCACAATGCTGGACATATTTACCACTATCATATTCAACCTTCCCAAAACATATGGTTCAAGTAGCAATATGCAATAAAAATACTTCATGCGTGGCTTAAACACGTGAGAGTATCTACAAAATCAGGCTACAATGAAATACAAATTATATATCAGCACGTTCATTATTCATGTTGCCTGGAAAGGGCGCTATATAAATATTAAATAGAATAACAGTAAAATATAAAAATACTAACATCTTGGCCTATGGCCCTCCTTCAGAGTAGAGAGAGTGCAAATATTACAAGTTGGAGATCTCACTTGGCACTGCAAAAAGTTCAGGTTTGGGCCACTAAGTCTTGTACTACCACAGTTCAGTAGAGCAGCTACAGGGATAAAAATAAATATATGCAACTGCAGGGATAATGTTACATTTATGCAGTTGCGTAACTTTGAGGTTAATATGGGAAGCCTTTTTTATGAATGGCAATGCTAAATTGTTCGTGATAAATGAAAACGTTTGTAAGGCACTGCCATGTAAAATTCAATCTCAAACAATGTCGAGTCAAACACTGCCTTCCCTTTGAATAAGGGACACTGTCAAAAATGTTAGCCTGTTTATGTTATGATATGTATCATCATCTTGCTGGTAATTGTGCACCACTGCAAATAGGCCTCGGCAAGGTAAGGGTAATTGTACCCTTTTTACCGGGTAAAAGGGTAAAGGTAAAGGTGTAGACATGCCAAGGGGTAAGGGTAAAGGGTAGGGTACAAGGTAGGCTCGTTGTTTTTACACTTTTACCTTACCTGCTAAAGGGTAAAAGGTAGGGTAGAGTGATCGTATTGTGGTAAGGTAAAGGGTAGGGTAAAGGTAGGCTCGTTGTTTTTACACTTTTACCTTACATTGCCGAGGCCTAACTGCAAACAGTCCATTAGTGTTTGATTACATTATAGACGCTGCCTTTTTCAAAGGTGACAGAGATACCAACCAAGAGTGGCAGAATCTCACCAAGCAACTTCTTCCAGGACTTGATGAGTGACTTGGCCAGAGATGTTACCTCGTCATCGGAGCTCTGCTTTCGGACAGCGTTTACAGACATCCCGATCCTCGTTGACTGTCAACAAGAAAAGTTCAACCATTAGAAAATTGTAAAAGCTCCACTGCATAATATATGTTTTCTATTCATTACCTATTAATATTTCAAACTGAACAGCATGGGAATGTAAAATATCCACCAGCTGAGAAAAATCAACATATGTAGATATTAAACGTCTTTCACAATTTCAATGAGGTGCTTATTGTTGCTGCAACAACCGGTTTTCTTGGGATTGAAATAGCAAAGACTAATTCCTGTAAGAAATGTTATCATACTACAGGAATAGTTGCTTACCATACACAGTACAATAAAATAACACTACGAACATTTGAATATAAGATCACTTTAGAGTTAACACACATTCTAAACTGCACAAGTCTTTATGATCTTTAGTGCAGGGAACAATTTTCTGCCATCAATTGAAACATCAATTCATGATCCTTAGCCCAGAATACGTGCATTGAATACTGCATATAACGATATATTTTTAGATTTATGAACATTTTATGCAATTAGGATAGCAGCCAAAATGAACAAGAAAGACTCGACACACTACAAACTAGACATAACAAATGAGACCATACAGACAATACCAACAAGACAGAACAAGTACGAGAGACTAACGTTACAAGGCAGAAGAGACGGTCAAAATGAAATCCCGTACAAACAAGAGATAAGTAACATTTAAAAATTCTTTTTTTTAAACACGCTTTAATAAAATGTACCATACGAGTAATGGCAGAACTCCACGACTCCAGAAAGTGGCCCCGAAGCTTGCCATAACGTAAGGGACTGTGGTGATTTACAGCCAACGTGGGTTGAGCGTGGACAATTAGACCCAAGCCGAAACATCACATATAAAAAAAGATTGCGTAAAAATATAAATATTTTTGTATTTGTTAATGATAGAATATAGTACTGTCAGTATGACATACATATACCAAGTTTTCAGTCGATACGACATTGGGAAGTGGCTTAAAATTGAGTTACAAGATTTGAGGATACGACAACAGAGTTGAGGATACAAGAGGCAGACATTGAGACATACAACGCGTGACAAAACGTTTGAGACCACATTTTTTGTTACATTCAATACGTGTCTCATGAATCGAAACACAGGGATTTAACAAGGTTCGTGCATGCATCCATAAGTGAACCTGTGGCTTACCTGTAATACGTCAAGGGTCATCGGGATGGACTTCAATTCCTTTAAAAGATCCAATGCTCCTGCCTGCATTCAAAGCATGCAACATCAATAAATATGCTGCATACATCAGATGCCTTCCCATCAAATTTGACAAGCGAACCTTTCAATTTAAATTGTATTATATGGACTAGGATATATCTATAAAATGGTGGGGGCATAACGGTTCTTTTTAAAAAATCTAACGATTCAATGCTTTCGAAAAAAAAAAGATTCAATGCTTGTCGTGGTTGAGTCATATCAATCATCTGGGATTCGCAAACTCAGAAATAAATATGTAAACTCCACCACAGAGTGTTTATCGAAAAGCAGTTGTTATAGACGAGACAACACTGGTTGCTCATCACAGGAACATCACATTTCCACCAATGACTCAGGACTAAGAAAGTAAATATCACCCCCCATTACAACAAAAAGTTTTAAGGGTCACTTAGACCCTTAAATAAAACATTGATACATTGCCCATTAAGAAGTGCCTTAACACAAATTATGGACTAACAACTGAAAATGAAGTATTTTAAAACATTATGAAGAGTAAAAAGTGACATTTGCTGATTCAATTGACCTTGAAACAGATCCTGTACCAACATTTGTATCTCATGCCTAATACTTAATAATACAGTACTAGGTATCAGCCACATTCCTTGATACACAATTATAATGGACAATGCAATAAAAGTTAGGGACGGTGTAAAAAAATATATCTGAAATTACAAAAAACATGGTGAAAAACGAGACGAGAAAACTGCTGAAAATTACAACCAAAATAACGAATGCAGACCTCTATAAAAACATTAAATTGAGAATCAGAAAACAAAAGTGACTGAATTTCAAGAGCATGGGAGCACGAAAGCAGCAAAAAAAGCAATGTAACTTTATAAATCACTCATTATAACTTTTAGCATGATGCAACCATGAGATAGAAACCTATTTTTAATAAAATAGCAAAATGAATACAGATCTGTTCAGTAATAAAAAAAAATCCCAAATCCCACGTACTGGAGGGAGAAAAATTATTTGGGGATGACGATGTTTCACTAGGACAACTGTGGACATCGTTAAGGAGACCAGGTGTTGAATCAAAATTAGTTTACCTTTTCACTAAATGTTTACAGACGCAAAAAACTCTCATTTTTTGCACCTCAGATCAGCACGGTTGGTTACGTACAGTGCGAAAGAAGTTCAACATACATAGTCCTGAAATGATGGCGCATGCTTCAATTTCAAAAGACGATAACGATATTTCAATCGAAAGACCCATTTGTTTGCTATCGTAAATTTACACAAGCTGTTCACAAATATCACTGGACAACAAATGGGCATCTTAGAGACAAACCAGCCATGTGAGCAATGTTAATTGAATTAAGATCGTTTTAGGATGGAACACAAAAATCAATAAATTATAGAAAAGATACATTTCAAAATCCATTTTGCTCGACTTTTTTGAGATTATGGAAATGTACTGGATTTAGTGAAAACCAAAGCTCCCACAGAGGCCTTCATAAAAAATTAAAACAATGCATTATGGTGGAACACAAACTCCGAGATTGCACTTAACATTATCCCAAGGTATAATTGTTTTTTTACCCTTTAATCTGGCAACAAAACTGACACCTTTTTTTTACAAGGAGTCATGTTTGCATTGACCACAATACCTGCGGTCGGAATGCAAACAAAAAACACAACTCTGATAATGTATGCACTGTCCTTGTGCGCCTTTTGGCGTCATCTGGTCCAACACCATGTGAGACTAGGCTCTAAAGAAAGCTGTCTCGGGTGTGGACCAATCAACTTCAAGGACAGTGCACATTATCAGAGTTGTGTTTTTTGTTTGCATTATGACTGCAGGTATTGTGGTCTATGCAAACATGACTCCTTGCAAAAAAAGGTGTCAGTTTTGTTGCCAGATGGAAGGTTAAAAAACCAATTATCATATTTTTTACTGGCAAATGAGGTTCCAATGGTGTAAAAAACTCGACGAGACTTCATCCAGCTGTAGATTTAACAGAGGGCTGAACATTTGCGTGACAAATGCTTATTAAATTGAGTGTAAAACGAAATACAATCAAGCGATGGCAATTAATACTGGCAAATAACATGGCATTGTATAACTTCACAGCGCTTGAGCTGTGCAACGCGTAAAATATATTTGACAATAATCACGTTACTCTGTGCTGATATTTCGCGATGTGCACCGATCTATTCATAGTTTGGGGGGGAGGGGTGTGCGTCAAATACAACGCATTGGACACCAGTGCGCATGCGCCGCTGGCACACTCGCGCGTTCCGCAAGACGGGTTCCAAATTTGGCAACGCGCGCGTCCTGCCACTTTCCACCATCGTAACGTTCAACGGGCGTCGCGATTTACAAAACGTAACGCGCTCTATCGAGCAATGGCAGCGCATATGATTAACGCGTTACCATGTATACAAAAAAATTATCTAAAAATAAAAGGCTCAGGCAATAAAGTCCGGAGCAGGCGCAACAGTGAACACATGAAAGCATCGCCTCGACAAAGCGCGCCGACGAATTTTCGAGACATTGGGGGGAAGCCCCTCCCCCTCTACCCCCGACATCGGCGCGCTCATTGGCCGAGCGTGGCGGGCTTCGACCAATTAGCGCGCGAGCCAACCGGCGGCCCCGCATATCCGTAGTGGGGAATGTGGAGCGCGGGGTGGGGGGTCGTGGGGGGTGGGGGGTCGTGGGGGGTGGGGGGTCGTGGGGGGGTTGTGGGGGGGGGTTGTGGGGGGGGTTGTGGGGGGGGTGAGAACCACTGGCTTGAGGGGCGAGGTAGCGTGGGGGACAATCGGGGTTGGTGGGGGGTAAGAGGGGATGGGTGGGGGGGCTGGTGGGGGGTAACAGGGGATGGTGGGGGGGTTGGTGGGGGGGCTGGTGGGGGGTAAGGGGTTGGTGGGGGGGGGCTGGTGGGGGGGGGGGGCGGCTGGTGGGGGGGGGGGCTGGTGGGGGGGTAAGAGGGGTTGGTAGGGGGGGCTGGTGGGGGGTAAGAGGGGTTGGTGGGGGGGGTTAAAGGGGTTGGTGGGGGGGGCTGGTGGGGGGTAAAAGGGGTTGGTGGGGGGGGGGGGCTGGTGGGGGGCTGGTGGAGGGGCTGGTGGGGGGTAAGAGGGGTTGGTGGGGGGGGGGGGTCTGGTGGGGGGTTAAAGGGGTTGGTGGGGGGGGGTCTGGTGGGGGGTTAAAGGGGTTGGTGGGGGGGGGGGGCTGGTGGGGGGTAAGATGGGTTGGTGGGGGGGGCTGGTGGGGGGTAAGAGGGGTTGGTGGGGGGGGGGGTCTGGTGGGGGGTTAAAGGGGTTGGTGGGGGGGGGGCTGGTGGGGGCTAAAAGGGGTTGGTGGGGGGGGAACTGGTGGGGGGTAAGATGGGTTGGTGGGGGCCTGGTGGGGGGTAAAAGGGGTTGGTGGGGGGGCTGGTGGGGGGGCTGGTGGGGGGTAAGAGGGGTTGATGGGGGGGGGCTGGTGGGGGGTAAGAGGGGGGTAAGAGGGGTTGGTGGGGGGGTTGGTGGGGGGTAAGAGGGGTTGGGGGGGGGCAGGTGGGGGGTAAGAGGGGTTGGTGGGGGGGGGGTTGGTGGGGGGGCTGGTGGGGGGTAAGAGGGGTTGGTGGGGGGGCTGGTGGGGGGTAAGAGGGGTTGGTGGGGGGGGGCTGGTGGGGGGGGCTGGTGGGGGGTAAGAGGGGTTGGTGGGGGGGGGTTGATGGGGGGGGGTTGGTGGGGGGTAAGAGCGGCTGGTGGGGGGGGGGGGTGGTGGGGGGTAAGAGGGGTTGGTGGGGGGGGGCTGGTGGGGGGTAAGAGGGGTTGGTGGGGGGGGCTGGTGGGGGGTAAGAGGGGTTGGTGGGGGGGGGCTGGTGGGGGGGACTGGTGGTGGGGGGGGTTGGTGGGGGGTAAGAGCGGCTGGTGGGGGGGCTGGTGGGGGGGGTTGGTGGGGAGGGTTGGTGGGGGGTAAGAGCGGCTGGTGGGGGGGGTGTTAGTCAACAGCGATACAGCTCCACTGCCTCCTGGCGCGCTCATCTCTCTCGGGCTTGACCGCCTGAGTTGTCACGCTGTAGTGCGTTGCTCTGCAGCTGCATCAGCCGCACGAAGAAGACGACGACGAAGAAGACGAGGAGGAGGAGAAGGAGACGCGGAGTGTGAGGAGAGCGGCGCTGCCACCCAAAGGCGGGAAAACGACGGCGGCGTTGAGGGGCCAACGCCGCTCGCTGCTCGTTCGTACGCGCGCGTGAAGGGCGGGAAGAGACGCACACGACATCAAGAACGTCCGCTCGCTCGCTCTACGCACCGTGCTCTTCTTTGACACCATCTTGTCCAGCTTCTTCGCTATCCTCACCACCTCGTCTCCCTTCCCCATGGCTGCACGCTCTTGCCAGCGGCCGCAATTACCACAATACGCCGCAACGTAAACCCCAACCCCAACCCCCCGTCACCCCACGCCGCCTCGTACTCGTTATCAATAACACGGCCTGACGATGTAACTTTAGATTTCAAAACTACGTTAGAACATGCAACGAATGGGCTAAACTCAGGGCAGGCCGAGTAACTTTGCAGGCGAGAGGCGGCGGCGTCGTGACGGCGGTCGAGAGGGCGACTGCTGCTGCTGCCGCCGCCGCCGCCGTGGGGGCGCACAGCCGGGGCGGGCGACGATACCCACAATGCCGCGCGACACTCAGCGAGACGCCGCCATTTTTTTAGAAGGAGCGGTGCCCTCAGGGCGGATTGCGGCGAGCGAAGCTTCGTGTGTGTGGGCGGGGCTTCGTGTGTGTGGGCGGGGCTCTGTGTGTGGGGGCGGGGCTCTGTGTGTGGGGGCGGGGCTTCGTGTGTGTGGGCGGGGCTTCGTGTGTGTGGACGGGGCTCTGTGTGTGGGGGCGGGGCTCTGTGTGGGGGCGGGGCTTCGTGTGTGTGGGCGGGGCTTCGTGTGTGTGTGTGGGCGGGGCTTCGTGTGTGGGCGGGGCTTCGTGTGTGGGGGCGGGGCTCTGTGTGTGGGGGCGGGGCTTCGTGTGTGTGGGGGCGGGGCTTCGTGTGTGGGGGCGGGGCTTCGTGTGTGTGTGTGGCGGGGCTTCGTGTGTGGGCGGGGCTTCGTGTGTGGGGGCGGGGCTCTGTGTGTGGGGGCGGGGCTTCGTGTGTGTGGGGGCGGGGCTTCGCGTGTGGGGGCGGGGCTTCGTGTGTGTGGGCGGGGCTCTGTGTGTGGGGGCGGGGCTCTGTGTGTGGGGGCGGGGCTTCGTGTGTGTGGGCGGGGCTTCGTGTGTGTGGGCGGGGCTCTGTGTGTGGGGGCGGGGCTCTGTGTGTGGGGGCGGGGCTTCGTGTGTGTGGGCGGGGCTTCGTGTGTGTGTGGGCGGGGCTTCGTGTGTGGGCGGGGCTTCGTGTGGGCGGGGCTCTGTGTGTGGGGGCGGGGCTTCGTGTGTGTGGGGGCGGGGCTTCGTGTGTGTGGCGGGGCTTCGTGTGGGCGGGGCTTCGTGTGTAGGGGCGGGGCTTCGTGTGTGGGTGCGGAGCTTCGTGTGTGTGGGCGGAGCTTCGTGTGTGGGGGCGGAGCTTCGTGTGTGTGGGCGGGGCTCTGTGTGTGGGGGCGGGGCTCTGTGTGTGGGGGCGGAGCTTCGTGTGTGTGGGCGGGGCTCTGTGTGTGTGGGCGGGGCTCTGTGTGTGGGGGCGGGGCTGCGTGTGTGGGGGCGGAGCTTCGTGTAGGGGCGGGGCTCTGAGTGTGTGGGCGGGGCTCTGTGTGTGGGGGCGGAGCTTCGTGTGTGTGGGCGGGGCTCTGTGTGTGTGGGCGGGGCTGCGTGTGTGGGGGCGGAGCTTCGTGTGTGGGGGCGGAGCTTCGTGTGTGGGGGCGGGGCTCTGTGTGTGTGGGCGGGGCTTCGTGTGTGTGGGCGGGGCTTCGTGTGTGTGGGCGGAACTTCGTGTGTGGGGGCGGAGCTTCGTGTGTGGGGGCGGGGCTCTGTGTGTGTGGGCGGAACTTCGTGTGTGGGGGCGGAGATTCGTGTGTGTGGGCGGGGCTCTGTGTGTGGGGGCGGGGCTTTGTGTGTGGGGGCGGAGCTGCGTGTGTAGGGGCGGGGCTCTGTGTGTGGGGGCGGAGCTTCGTGTGTGTGGGCGGGGCTCTGTGTGTGTGGGCGGGGCTGCGTGTGTGGGGGCGGAGCTTCGTGTGTGGGGGCGGAGCTTCGTGTGTGGGGGCGGGGCTCTGTGTGTGTGGGCGGGGCTTCGTGTGTGTGGGCGGGGCTTCGTGTGTGTGGGCGGAACTTTGTGTGTGGGGGCGGAGCTGCGTGTGTAGGGGCGGGGCTCTGTGTGTGGGGGCGGAGCTCTGTGTGGGGAGGGGCGGAGCTCTGTGTGCGGGGGAGGCGGAGTTCGCGTTAAATGAGGCGGGGCTTACGGGGAGCGGGGCCAGATTTGGGGTGTGGCTTTGAAGAGGGCGGGGTTTGTCGTTCAATTGGGATGTGACGTCACTTCAAGTTCAAGAGCGGTGATGGTTATATGGGCGTGGTTAGACGTAGGTCACGTGCTTTCACCCCCAAATCCCCCCCCCCCCCCCCACTTAGCCCTGCACCCCCCCACACTTTACCCCCCACCTACAGGACAATACTGGCAGGAACCTCCTGGTTACACCAGCCCACAGGGAATTATTGTGTCCGTCCGTCCGTCGTGCGAGGAGGAGCTGGGTGGGGAGGGTGGGGAGGGGCTGGGTGGGGAGGGGGTGGGTGGGTGGGTGGGTAGGGGCTGGGTGGGGAGGGTGGGGAGGGGCTGGGTGGGGAGGGTGGGGCTGGGTGGGGGGGTGGGAGACGTGGGGTGGGGCTGGGTGGGGGGTGGGAGGGGTGGGGCTGGGAGGGGAGGGGCTGGTCACCCCGTGGTGCCCTTATAAAACTCAACGTTTAACCTACTCACGCCGGCTTGTGCCCGCCCTCACAGTCGGGCATATTTGCGGAATACACCACGCCGCCGTTGACCCTGGCCATTGACCGAGCAACCCAACGTTCCTACCAGCCCCCTCCGCAGGAATGTGTTACTGCATGAGGAATCTGATGAGCTATCAAGCTCTTCTCTTTTACAGATGTCCAGTCGGGGCAGGTCAGAACGTTACAACAACAAACAATACAAAAACACGATAGGAGTGCAAAGTATAGGAAAGGTAATGAATGGGCTGTTCATAAATGACGTCACGCACCTGGGGGGGGGGGGGTCAGAGATTTGTGACGATGTGTGACGAGGGGGGGGAGGTTGAGAAATGTGACGTCACATCAAAATGTGCAACTTTAAATAAATATAGACAACACGTTCTACTTAATTAAATAGACTTTTTAATAAATGCTTTCTCCTACAACATCGGAGTGCATCGCCACATTAAATACGCACTACAATGACAATAGTTTAAATCGATTTGAAGTACGTTTTATTTTGGGGGGGGGGGCAGAGTTTTGTGACGTCATATTTGAGGGGGGGTCTGACTTTTTGTGACGTCGTGTGACGATGGAGGGGGGGGTCAAAAATCGTCCAAAATCGCGTGACGTCATTTATGGACGGCCCCTAATGTCATCAGCAATTAAGTATGTGTTTTACATAACCCATCGGCCTTTTCAAATACCCGATCGGCCTTCTGCGAGTGCATGAATTTAACGACGACGCAAATTCAGCGTAAACAAGACTCATCAGACATTGCTTCCAACGACGGTGTTTGCTGATGAGGCATTGAATGTCGAAACCGATCCAACATTTTGCCTGTGTTGAACCAAAGCGGCGACATTGTTTGCGCTCCAAAAAAAGGCCGTGTGCGATTTTGTACGATTTTTAACTCCCCCCCCCCCCCAATCGTAACACGGCGTCACAAAAAGTCAGACCCCCCCTTCAAATATGACGTCACAAAGCTCTACCCCCCCTACCAAAAAATAAAACATGCTTCAAATCGCTGCAAACTATTATCATTGTGCGTATTTAATGTGGCGCTGCACTCTGATGTTGTAGGAGAAACATGTATTAAAAAGTCTATTTTATTAAGTAGAACGTGTTATCTATATTAATTGAAAATTGCGCATTTTGATGTGACGTCACATTTCTCAACACCCCCCCCCCATCACACATCGTCACAAATGTCTGACCCCCCCCCCCCCCCCCCCAGGTGCGTGACGTCATTTATGAACAGCCCCAAAGTTCTTTTTCACAGATGTCCAGTAGGGACGGGTCAGTAAGTTACAACAACAAACAATACCAAACATACCATAGGAGTGCAAAATACATGAAAGGTAAGTAGGCCGCGAAAACTAAATAACTTGTACGCGTTCAAATTGCACAAGTACGTACATTCTTGCCGATTTTTAAACACTAAATGCAAGCTTGGGCAGGGTAGCAAAACAACAACAAAAACACATTCTATGGGTCTTTCGGTAAAGTCACGTAGATAGAAAAAGAATTTTAAAAACATCACGACGTTCCGATCGCAACACAAGCAATCGTCTCTTGAAACGTGATATTTTTAATTTAGTTTTCTATCTACGTGGCCTTACCGAAAGACCCATAGAATATGATAATTGGTTTTTTACCCTTCTATCTGGCAACAAAACTGACACCTTTTTACAAGGAGTCATGTTTGCATAGACCGCAATACCTGCAGTCATAATACAAACAAAATAACATAGCTCTGATATAAAATATTCAGGTGAAGACGGCTGCCTGCGTTGTAGCCGAAACGTCGTGAGAATTATTTTATTATGTTTTATTTTTTATTATTTTATTACTTCCCTTCTACGTGACTTTACCGAAAGAACCAAGAAGATGAATCCCTGCAGTCACGAAAGCTTTAAATCGAAATAAAATATTTATTTCTGCAGTCACGAAAGCTTTAAGTCAAGAATTAACAAAAACAGTCTCAGACCGCACCAAGAGAGCACATTCCCTCAATAAAATCGCACATTAACACTTAAATATTTATTACGTACCAGTTATCTCCCCAATGGCCCATTTTTCATAGTATGACATCAACTGCTATGAAGAAGGGTCATTGCCCGAAACGTCTCCGATTATGTTATTTTCCTTAAGGGTTGGTATTGACGCATGTTAACGTGAGCTCAACGCTGGAGGGCAGTGAAGAGTCACTAGACACGCGACACACGAAACATTCTTTACTCTTCAGTTGTCATACGTCACACGATAGAACTCGGATAGTTTTTTGTTCTAGCCCAGGTCAAGCGATTATTTACCACATTCCTTCAGCTCGTGAAAAGCAACTTACAAATACAGCGTGGTTGCTAAACTGATGGATGTGGGCCTCCCCACGCCATTATGTGATCATACCTCAAGCTGTTGGTGCCCCTAAATAAAGTCTCTTTTGGGTGGTTATCTTATTTTGTTGTTCAAACCTATATTGTAGACTTTGTACACTTATAGACGAGGCAATTGCAGGACTTTTGGAGAATTTACAAAAAAAATAAACCGCTGGAAAGTGTGTTTTTAATGATTGAAAGTCAAGGCCAACGGAGCCATTGCCAGCAATTCCATCTGAAAAATTATGACCCTCAACACATTGTAGAATGTCCATCTGGAATTGATTTTGTCTAAATGCTGGGTTCCCACCAGAGAATATTCACAAGCAGCATGCGGGGGTCACATCATTAAGCCTCAACTGGAACGCGGCACGAGGGCCATCTTCCCACAGGCCACACCAACTCACGTGCCCTGCCAGGCTTCAGTGCTGCCACATACCCTCCTCTTTTCAGCGAGCATCTTCTGCATTC